ACGGTGGCCTCTGAGGATACATTTCCTTGGCTTTCAGGTGCCTGCCAAAACAGGAGGTTGCTGAGCATGTTGCACAAAATAGACCACTGAAAGCATTTGCCTTTGGGGCAACAAGCTGTGCTTGATGACCTTCAGGAAATTCAAAGGCTGAGTTACCAGCAGTGCAGTGAGGCAATTTTGGACTCCAGATTTACTGTTTTTACAAGCACCTCCCTCTTTAGATAGTGGCATGCATTTCCCCACTTATTTCACAATGTGGTAACCCACTCCTGTGGTGTTTGCTCCTTGCCACCGAGCTGCATATCCTGCTTCCGGGGCCCAGGGCATCACCCCCAAAGTCTTGCCCGACAGCCCCACTGGCAGGGGCTTAATGCCAGTGGTCTGAATGTTGGCACTAATGCTACTTCCGTGGAGAAGGAATGGGCTCTCTTCCTCACCCTTCATGTAGCAGCAGATGCAGTCCTGTGTGACCCCTCAAACTTTTTCCAGGTGTTGGCTCCACGGCATAAGCTGCCGGTGTCTGCAGCTGGAGTCCCAGGACTGATGGAGGGTTAGGAAGATGGAGTGGGGTGAGAGGCAGAGGCAGAACAGGCAGGGGCCAGATACTGGCAAGGAATAGTCAAGAGCAAGCAAAGATCAGAGAGCAAAAAGGCAGGGCACAACTAGGGGGGAAGGAAAGGTCACCAAAAGGCGAGGAACAGATACTGGGTGAAGGCAGATGCAGGAGCTGGCTGAGGTGGGTATGCACATCAAGGCCTTGCAGGACTGGAAGCAGGCTCAGGACACAAAATAGCCACCACAAAGGTTTGTGTTCCCATGACAAAGCTAGGTGGGCCTGAGAGGCCCTTTAAAGCCCTCTTGTGGCTTCCAGCTGGTTTCCATGATGGCAGTACGTCTAATTCCGGCAAGCACTTTCAAAGTGAGACCGGCTGAGTGCGCAATCTCACCACCAGGGGGTGCTGTGCTGCACTGCAGATCCTGGCAGGAGACTCAGAATATTTTTAGATCAGAACAAGCAAAATGTGCTTGTCCTTTCTGCCCCCATAACAGTCCTCAAGCATCCGTTCTTAAGAAAGACACACCTCTTACAATTCAGGAGATGGCTACGGTATTTGTTGGGTCAGAAGAAATTCTGGGCTAGTCTTCCTTTGTGTGCACATTTTAGCCTCTGCAGATATATTCAAACAAGGAAATGCCACAAACAGTGCCTGCACCTGCAATTGAAAAGGCAAATCTTTTTTAGAATATGCATATACAGTATCAGACTGTCTGTTCTAGTATCGAGGTTAAGCAGAGAGGTTTGTGGGTGGCTCTCTTCTGTTTTTTGCCCATGTTAACAACATTTATGCATGAAGGCACGGGGCATGCAAGAAACTTTGAGTGCCATGAGGGAAAATGCTGTCTCCTCCCTCTGTTCTCTTGTGAGCCAGAGGGAGAGTCGAGATTTTGTGCACAGTGCTGTGGCCTCTCATTTTCTCAGGAAGAAAGACGAAGTCTGTGGCTTGGAGGGAGACAAGGCAAAGGAAGGGTAGTGCTGGATCATTTCCCTCAGGCTGCAAGTGGGCTGCGAATTAGCACTGCTGGAAGACAAGGCAAATGAGTGATGCAACAAGCGAGCCTGTCGAGAAGCAGTGTGTCTGGCATCTCTCAGTCCAATGTGTCCATTTTTGCATTGGCGAAAAAGAAGTCAACCAGGCATGTATTTGCACGTGTCTATTTATATGTATAGATGCAGCTTTTGGAAATAATTACAATGGTTTTAATAGATATACACCTCACCAGAGTAGGGAAAACTCTAACAGGTAGGGTGGTGTTGCCAAAGAGGGGAATCACATCCCCCAAACCGAGGAGAAAAGGTAACTGATTTACAGAGTGTCAGCATCAAGCCGAGGCATCATCAGGCACCTGCAAGGGCCTGCACCCCAGCAGGGAACCTGCTGGCAAAGATCTCTGGAGTCACTCCACCTCAGCCAGCCTGCCTGTTGCTCTTTGAGAAGAGCAGTGGTGAGAAGGGGAGCTGCCCGTGCCATTGTCTGCTTGCTCACTGGCTCCCTACACGTCACCTAAGCACACGCCAGCAATTTTTAGGAAAAGGAGCAACAGCAACTGGTGGCAATGTTAGTCCAAAGGAAGGTGCACTGAGGGAGGGGGCCCACTGAATGGCCTCTTGCCTGTGGGAGTCAGCATTGGCTTTGCAACAATATTTGCTCAAAGTAATTCATGCAATGTAGAAAATGTACTACAATTTAGATAGAAGTGCAAGACATCTCACCATAGTGGCGAAGATGCCCATTCCAGTCTCTGTTCGGGTGTAAACTATTGGCGGGTGGTTTCAGTGCTCCTGCTCTTTGTTCCTGTGGTTCTTTATACTGAAACAATGCATGAACTGGACATTCCTTCATCAGAGTATGCAATAAAATACAGGACTGACAGCCCTTTGAAAAGTAGACAGCCCAACTGCTGTGGTGAAATGGGCAGGAGCTAGAAGCTGGAAGGCTCTCATTCAGCTCCCCACACAGGTATGAATCAAGGTCTGGAAGGATGGGGCTTTGCCAGGAAACTCTACATACAGCACATGCAGTTCTTTCTTGAAGGAAGGAAGGGAGGAAGGAAGGAAGGATCAGCTGATATGCATATGGACACAATCAAATCAAAAGATTTATATTTATTGTAGAAGACAGAGTCTTCAGCTGGTCTCAAGCTAAGCAGACCTGGATCTGGTCAAGGCCTGGGAGGATAGGACATTGCTTGGGAATCCTATATATACCATGTGCAGAAAGGAGTGGTATTCTGCAAGTTATGAAACAGGAAGAAAGTATCTGTGGATAATATTGAATAAGCAAACAGATATTCAAGGGAAGCGAGCCATCAGGCACAGATATGAAGAAGCTGGGAGAGGCGGCAGTCATTTGCAGAGGAAGGTAGAGGCCACATGATGCTGTAATTGCCCACAGCATTGGCAAAGGACAGCTTGCCCAGTGCTTCCTTCTCTTTTCTTCTCAATATTTATTGCCCAGCAGCTGAAGCAAGAGAAGAGAGATGGGACAGTCTCTGACCTGGTTCACACAATGTTACCCTGGCAACACATCGTGTCAATCTGTGTCATCTGGACTCAACCTGCTCTTCTCTCCAGAACTGGCTTCAGCAGGGCAGGTCTTTCTCTTTGCCCTAGGACCTGCAGCTTGCCTAATCCTTCCTGCATCTTGCTGTGTATCCTGCCTTGCCACATTGCCTCAGCATCTCAGGTCCTGTGTTTGCAGTTGTCCCTGACCCTTGCCTGACCTGTATCCTGCCTTACTGTACATACCTGTCTTGCCGTGTCCTGTCTTGCTGTGCCTTCTCCCTTGCCATGTATCCTGCCTTCCCCTGTTGCCTTAGCAATGCAAGCCTTCCTGTTAGCTCTGGTCCAGCTGCTGCACCTTGCCTGACCTTTCCTGCAGTTGGTTCAAGACTTCTCCTGCCTCGCTGTGCCTCCTGCATCGTGCCCTGTATCTTGCTTTGCCCTGTATTCTGCCCTGTTATCCTGCCCCAGTAGCAGTGGGTGTTGTTTGATGGTGACACATGATTCTGCTGCTAAAAAGAGACACCATCCCCACTTTAAATATGAGCAGAGTGTGAACACCTGCTCCACTGCGCCTGGAGTCTTCCTATACCAAGGATTTTCCCCTTCTTGATCACCTGAATTACTTTTGCAGCAGTCAACAGGCCAGTAACCTGTTTCTATAGCATTTTCTTTAGTGTTTTGCTCTAGAATTTCCTCGATTCTTTTCTAACAATCCCTCCCTTCTTGCAGATTATGCACTAATGTGCTTGCTTGCACTGCCATTGCCTGTGTGCCCCAAAGGTAGCCAAAACGTGGGAGAAGCAAAGCTTATCTGTTCAGCATTCAGGTGCGGCTCCACTTTTTTTAACCTGCATTGCTAACTGACAGTTGACAAGGGTCTTTTTGGGGGAAAGCTTCCCATTTTATGTTATGAGTACTCTCTGCCCAGCTCTGCAAAAGAAATAGTTACCTGAGGAGAAAGAAGGAAATTAATGACTATAACTGGCATCGCTGTAAGACATTGCATCATGCTAGCGGTTTCTGTTGTTGTGGAGGACACAAACCACACCGAATCCATGACTACGGTGTTTCTTTGCCCCTGTCCTGTGCAGGTGCACACGAACAAGTAACTTTAGGAAAAATAAGAATCCTGCAATTGAGATGAACCAGCGGTCTGCTTGGCAAGGCAAAACACATAGCCTACTAGGGAACTGCAGTCATCTTCAAGCTCACAACACCAGTGCCTGGTGCTCGGAATGGTAGCAGTAACGTGATGAAACCAAGAAGCAAGAGGTCTTGCTATGTGTGCTATGAGAACATAGAATGTGAGTAAAGCAATGCAGTGATGACGCCATGATGACAGGAGGGTGGGTTTGGATCCCCCCCTTGCTTCCTTGTGGTGAATACAGGACAACTAGAAGCTGCTCAGAGACAGTCCTCTCCTTGAGCAATGTCTCTGCATAACAAAGGCCCTTTCATATTTAATAGCTTTGTATTAATGGGCGGATTGAAGAAAATACACAGCAGAAGGGTTAAGGGCAGTGATAATTGATGTGATCAGTGCAGGTAATGTAATCCTTTCCTCTCCTGCTGCAGTCCTGAGAGAAAACCCCTTTCAAATGCTAAGAAGTGTTCAACATTGAGTGTAATCTGGCTTGGAATTTATTCACTTCCTGCCACATATGAGCCATTTACTTCAGAGTGGAATGGACAAAAGCTGCTCTGTGTGTGTGTGTGTGTGTGTGTGTGTGTGTGTTTAAGCCTCTCTGTAGCCTCCATCTCATAATATAGTATTTCTCAGGAATTCATCTTTGTGTTGGGTTTTACTTTTCTTCATAAGGGAGAGCATTTGTGACACAGGGTTAACTCACACCAGAAGGGCTTTCGCTTGCACTTCCTCAATCAGATGAGGGAGGGGAAGGGAAGGCCAAGAAAGGACGTCAGGAAATAGAGAAGCATCAAAAGGGCGGAGGGTGCCGAAGCCTTGCCAAGGGTTCACTGCTGCAGGCCAAGGCAGAGACGGGAGCTCAGGCGCTCTCCTCAGCACTCCTGGCCCAGCTGCTGGAGGTGAAGAGAAGACAGGAAAGGAGGAGTAACCCCTTTGGCTCTTGCACTGTGAGAGATGTTGCTTCCCACGCAGCTGCGGAGTGAGAGGTAAGTCTCTGAGATGCATTCCTCTGGGTGCTTCAATACTGGCCTTCGTCTCAAAGGAGCTGCTGGGTATATCGATGGGATGCAGCTCTGGTTGCTGTGAGAGTAGGCATTTGTGTGTGGGGCCTGCGGTTCAAGGGGATTATATCATCTCTCCACCCCCCCCCCCACACCATGCACACTGTCGGCCAAAGTCATTTCCCCACCTGAGTTGTGGCAAATGGCACCCTTTCCCCAGAAGTCATTCTACCAAGGCCATCCCCCGGCCCTCCAGCAGTGGAAAGGCCATAACTAACCATTTGCTTCCTTCTCGTGGCACTAAAAAACTGCTGCCCGGGGCAGCCGCCTCATTCTGCCTGCAGGAGGGCCAGCCCTGCACTCATTCAGGCCACGCACATGCATGCATTCAGGAAAGAAGCGTGCTGGCAGGAGCAACTGCCAAGAGAGCTTCAGCTACAGGGTGGAATAGGGTTACGATCATGATAAAAACATGGTCCTTGCAGGCACCAATGATCCACAGACTTCTGTCTTGATGCTGGTCAAGGTACCTTGTCCTCCCCCTGATTTTTTTAATTAACAACTTTTCTTACGGGCATCTGGAATTTTTGTGAAGAACTGGGTTCAACAGAGCTGTGTAGTGCACTTGAACTTCACCTCTGATTTGCATTCAGCCTTTTCAACATGCTGCTTATCTTTTCCCATGACTCCCATGGCAATCAGTTGAGGGTGGTACCCAGGAAACTTTCTCAAATTGCCAAATGTGTCCAGAGGCCCAAAAGACTGCAAACCCCAGCTCTGTGATGACCAGATACAAAGGTGGTACCCTAATAGTCTAGAAGAGGTTAGCAAATATTTGTATTTATTAATACACCCGCACTCTCCAACTTCGCAATAAGAAAATACAATAATATATGATTACAGAATTCAAATACATCAACAACAAAAACCCTCTCCTATTTCACCAGAACTAATTCAGGAAGCAGAAGGGATGACACAATTGCATGCACACAATTACGCACAAAGAGCATACGATTACAGAGTTTAAAATATAGTTTTATATCTACGCAGATTCTCGTACACTCATCCCCCTCCCGCCCCCATCAATTAAAATCTCTGAGGGAATAAAAATTGCTTAACCCACCATTGCAAGAGCACGAACAAGTGTTTCTTAACCTGTCATTGCAAAGAGCAGGAGTCATGGCCACTTAGGCAGAGTAAAGCAATCAGACAGCTGATTTGGGGGGCACGAACAGGCAGCAAATTGTTAGCCTTTCCATGGATTATGGTTGCTTCTTTACTGCCAGGGAGGTGGAGAGGGAAGCCTGCAATTTTGGCACCAAGTACCATTTGCTGATTGGGCTCAAGCAGAAAAATGCCTTGGGCGGGCCCTGGGAGGAGCCTGGCATCTGCCCAGCCTCAGGAGTTCAGCGTGTCATTCGAACCTTGCCAGTAGGGACAGCTGGGTTTTAAGATGTAAAGAAAAGTGAGTGGGGGGTATAATGTGGTTTTGAGGACCAGTATAGTTAATATCGACGATGCCACAGTGCTAGACTGGCACCTCTATTCAGTGCTGGCTCCAGGTTTCTCGAGGCCACTGGGCAGGGCGCCCTGAACTGGCCCACTGGCTCAGGCAGCCTGCTCTCTTGCACTCTGCTGCTCTTGCTCCTCATCCTCTTTGGCATCACTGCTCCCAAGGACTTGCTTAACTGGCAGAGAGCCAGCAAGCAAGTGGGCAGGGCAAGCGCACCTGCTGTTTTTCCTGTTCTTCTGCACAGTTGCCTTGGTCAGGCAGAGATCCATGGAAACCAGTTTCTAAACCATTGCCCCAATCTTGTGGAACTGTTTTTTTGAAGCTCATCAGAATATGACAATGTTAGAGCAAAGGCCATGCAAGTTTTGATGAAAACCCTAACGGCCTACTTTGCCCAGCGTACTTTTTTTCTGTCTAAAACTGCCTTTTTGTGCCTAACTCACATAAGATCATGTCATTATTCTACAGGGAAGCCAAACACTGTGAGTCTATGTGCAAGCTTTTGTGTGAAAATTAGAGCTGTTTTATCATGCAGTCCTATCCATGACTGCTCAGTATGATGGTCTGTCCATTTCCATGAGGCCTACTCTCAGACATGGGGGTTTAGATCTGCAGTCATAATTCTTTGAACAAGCCCAGTTTTTATAGTCTATTATCCATATATCAGTTCTTATGACTTTATTAGATTTTTAATTCAGATGTAGGTGGAATAAAGATCTATTGCACCATGATCATCTCCAAAATAACCATCTCTTCATTTTGTCTTTCAGTGATTTTGACCAACTTCCAGACGATGTACCTGTTTCTGCTAATATTGCAGATATTGAAGAAAAGAGAGGTTTCTCTAGTTACTTTGTAAGAGAAGGAGTTTTCTCTTGGATATTGATATATGCTATTGGAGGGATAGGAAAGGTGGAACTAGAGGAAAAGTTGGCATTACAGAAAATGGCATAGCTGTTTCACAAATCTGACATTTGTCATTGGAAATAAAATTATTTCCTAGCAGTAGTTTTCATAGTAAACACTGAATTTGTGCTGACTGACTTGCAGCAGTCTATCTGTAGACATTTTGGAACACACGCGAAATGCTCTTCAATCTTCAGCTGGAAACCAGAGATGGCAAGCGGGGGTGGGGGGTGAGTACATGAGCACTGCGTCTGAATCCGGGCTACACATTTTTATTATATCATCAGCACTGAATATCCACTTTTACTATATCATCGTGAAGAAAGTAACAGGAAGAGGGCAACAGCGTACATATTTGCATTTCCCTGTATTCCATTGCCCCTGCTGAAGGTTGATGGAGCTTATATTATGCCAGACTGCCTGTGCTTTTAACCCACCCATGTTTACTCTGGCCACAACTCCTCTGGGTAACAGGCAGAGATCTTACTTTGTCATGCTTTCGGAGATGTTTGACTGGAGGATTCCTGCCAGAAACTCAGTTTGTGCCTTCTTCTCTTTCAGGTATTTGTGATTGAAGTGAAAACAAAAGGTGGGGCCAGGTATATGATCTTCCGCCGTTACCGTCAGTTCTATAACTTGCACAATAAGTTAGAGGAAAATTATGGAGCAGAAAACAAAAACAGCCGCTTTAATTGCACACTTCCCATCCTGCCAGGTAAGCCACAAAGACCTTCTGGTCTAGCACCTGAGTTTCCCCCCAGCTTCATCTTGTAATTAATCATTCTAAGTGGATCAATAATAATGGAATTAAGGTTACAAGCACAGCTCCATGTACGCCTTATCTAAAAGTAGGTAATAACATATGAAAACAGAGAGGGAGCTACATCGAGTCACTCCATCCCTGATATCAGGTGTGCCACATGGCTCGGCCTGTCCATGTTCCTGCATATAATGCAAAGGCTTCTCCTGCAGACATCTGTGTGGGTGCTTAGGGTGACGCTGCATTACATGCGCCATCTCGGGGGCCAGTCTGCATGGCACACTTCTGCCCTTGCTCCTATGCTGCATCACTTGCCTTTAGATAATGAGGTCACAGGGCTTGTGCAGAAGCTCAAATGGTCATAACTCTCCGATGCTCTTAATGGTGTTGGGCCAAGACACCACAGTCCCTCAGCTGAATTTTGTTATGTATTTATTTTGAAGCAAACAAACAAATAAAATTAATAACTTTTAATGTAATCTCCCCACCCCTTTGTTACTTTTATAAGTTCTGATGCTTACTGTGTGTAGCTGCTTTGAACTTCTCTGCTCTTGTGTCTTCAAGGCTGATGCGAGTCATTGTAAACCAAGGGTGTAGACAGAGGATCCTAATTTTGAGGATCCTAATTTTGGGGATCATTTCTGTGCAGGATCAGTGCTTCCTACCCAGAAGTGTGCAATGCTTCGTTCCAAGCTCATCTTCCACAATATGGTCATGGGCTGCAGTGCCCAAACAGAAGAAAAGGGTGCTATGCTCTGGGTGCAAGGGACTTTACTCCTCTTCTTCCCTGCCCAGGTCCTAGATAGGCAGCTGCATAAGAAGAATCAGAACTGGCCCGAAAAGCACACTTCAGTGCATACAGGACCAAAAACAAAGCAAGGACTCAGTAGCAAGTCCTTACTGGCTCCCAACAGAACCTTCCTCAAGGCAGCTTCCACGCTCCAAAATGATCCTCAGCTTGCTTGCCTGGTTCATATGTTCTCAGACCCACTTTTCCCTATGGTGAACAAATGCTAACCCAATTTAAATACGAAGTGCAGATACATACGATCTAGGACACTGACATCAGCAAATGTGCTTTTATAAGTCCTGCCCTGAGATATTTTGCAGCCTGAAACAGGCCAAAGATTTCCCCCTCCTCTACTATAAAAAGCTTCACTGTATCATGCAGGCACCAGTTCCCATCTTGATTATGCCCACACATACCTGGGCACCACCTGAAACAGGTGGCTTTACCTTGTAGCATAGCTGGGCCAAGCGAAGATGCTACGTCACAAGGTTCTGATGCTTTCATGTGGTGATGCTGCCTTCCAAGCCTTTCTTCTCCTCATTAGTTGGGCCTCCTCTGGAATACGGCATCCAGTTCTGGGCACTGAGATTGAAGAAAGATGCATAAATAAATAAATAAAATTGAAAGAGTCCAGAGGAGGGCAACAAAAATGATCCAGGGTTTGGAAACACTGCCCTGTGAGGAGAGACTGAGAAAACTGGGCATGTTCAGCCTTGAGAAGAGAAGACTGACGGGGGACATAATATCCCTCAAAGGCTGTCACAAAGAGGAAGGTCAAGATCTCTTCTCTCTAATACCAGAGTGTAGGACATGGAATAATCAATTCAAGCTGTGACAACTTAAATTCAGGCTAGATATCAGGAAAAATTTCCTCACTGTCAAAGCAATACAGCAGTGGAACCAGTTGCCTAGGGAGGTGGTGGGCTCTCCCACACTGGAGACATTCAAAAAGAAACTGGACAGCCATCTGAGTGGGATGGTGTAAACTGGTATCCTGCAACAGCAGGGGGTTGGACCCAGTGGTCTTCATGGCCCCTTCCAACTCTACTATTTTGTGATTCTATGATCTCTTAGGGCAATCCAGTGCCCCCTGAACTTAGAGGCTTCTGCGTATCTGATGGTCAGAGTGAGGCAAAGGAGTGGACATCTCCACCACTGCTGCACCTTGCCCTGTACATTTTATCTGGACAGCGGCTTTTGGCCATCTAGGTAAACACCAGAACGGAGGAGGAAGAAGGCTGGGGCACCAATAGGCAGCCTCAGCTTCCCCCATCCCTGCTTCCTGGAATGTCCCTTTCCCCAATCCTATTTCCACTCTCAGTGAGACAGCTGGTGTGGCTCTGTGTGCTGGGTGTGAGTGGGATGGAGTTGGGGCTTGGTCATCAGATTCTAATGACAAAGGACCTTGTCCTAGGGTTCCAGGGAATCCTATGCCCCCCATGATGTCATTCAAATATAATAATAAACCATAGGTGGTTGTTGTTACCTGCGAACCAGGGGTTGTTCATGGATTTTTTCACTAGGCTATAAAGGTGGTAGCCAAGAATAGTAACTGCCTTCTATCAGCTTCTGTATGTGCCGATCCTGAAGAACCACAAAAGCATTTGAGATGCAAGGAGGAAAAAGATGAAAGAGGAGGGAAAGAAGCAACCTGGGGATTGAGAAAAGAAACCTCAGTTTGTTCAATCACCTGCCAGGCAGGCCTCCAGTAGGGCAGAAAACTGTGGGTTAAATAAACCACCAGTTAGTATTATGGATGATCAAAGCCCATAAGACATTCCTGGCTGACTTCACTGAATTAGACATGTCTATAGTAAACTCCCCATTCTTTCAAAGTCTGCCATCAAACAAAGATCCACAGCTACCTACATATCACCATTTCATTTGTCTGTAGGAAATCTGATTTCTCTCTGATTTCTTTTATTTGAAGATACTTGTATGTGAGTATGCAGGTGCATGTACAGAGTCGACCTCTGTTTTTAAAGAGTACCTACACTGCAAACATTCCATAGCAAAGAATGGTAAGGACTGCCATCAAACTAGAGTTCTGATGATTCCTTGGAAGAAGCTGTGAGAGCTGAATTAGTGCAATAGCAGTAGAATTTATATTTAACATATAGTTCTGAAATAAAAAGTCCCTTAGCAGTCTAACTTGCTGTATCTTTTTCTTCTGCTTTCTTTCCATGGCAACACACCTTCAATTCTCTTGGTTTATTTTGGTGCTTTCCAGGAAAAGTTTATGTTGGTGCAAAGAGAGAGATTGCAGAAAGCAGGATCCCTCTACTTAACATGTACATGAAGGTAAGAATAATTTTGATGTTGTAAATGTGTAGTCACTGCCACTATTATCATGGACTCATTCCGTGCCAATCCATTCACATCGGTGCAAGCTAAGGACACTTTCACACATCCAAATTGTGGCCAAGGATGCGTACACAAAAGTCAGTAACCCAGCTGTGCATAGCTCTGCTACTTGTGATTTGTTGGTGCTTCATTCAGCCCAAGATGAGAAGCTTCCTAACTGCAGAGGTGTGCACAAGAGCACCGATGCATTCAGTGAACATATGAGGAGGAAGCAGAACCTCATCTCTTAGCCCCTCCCCTAATGCTGATGCATCTGTTGCCCAGCCATGGACCTCGAAGCAGCCACAATCACAGTATTAAGAAGAACGGAGCTACTCATGTATGGCTTTATGTGCACAGGGCCTTTCTCATTAACACTGAGCATGAGCCGCTGTTTGAGTGGCAGTGGGGTGGCCACCTTGTGAATCTCCTAAAGAGAACATTCATCATCTAAAACAAGGACAAAAGAAGTTACTGATGTGCATAAAATGTGAATATGCTAGCTTGTGTGCATAGATTAATAATCAGAAACATTTATTATAATTTAAAGTAAATACAGTATCTTTCACCATAGTGTGGGAGACTGTGAGCCCAGGTGACTTGTATGTCTTACTCAGCTGGCTGTCTGAGCACTGTTGACGGGCATCTTTAAGGTCTAACTCTTCTTTCAGATGGTTCTTTATCCTTAAACCTGACATAGGCTGGAGAGTCCTCTGGCAACTCTTCAAATAGAGGTCTATAAAATAGAGCATCTTGCCATCCAAAGCATGACCAGCAGGCCTATTTCCCTCTCACAAGTGTCATGAGCTGGTGTCTCTTCCTCACATCCTCTCTCCTTTTCCCTTCCCAGCAGATTAAGATGAGATATTTCTAATTACAGCCTTTTAATATGTTAAAGCTAGTCAACCAGAACTGGCTTTGTGATACAAAAAAGGTAATGTAATAGGGATGCAGGTGGCGCAGTGGTTTAAACTGCTGTGCTGCTGGGCTGGTTGATCGAAAGGTTGCCAGTTCGAATCTCCACAACGGGGTGAGTTTCCGTTGCTCCGTCCCAGCTCCTGTGCAGTTTGAAAGCATGCAAATGCAAATAGATAAAAAGGTACCACTTTGGTGGGAAGGTAACAGCGTTCCGTGCACCTCAGTGTTTAGTGATGCCGGCCACATGACCACAGGGACTATCTGCGGATAAACGCTGGCTCCCTCGGCTAGGAAACAGAGATGAGCACTGCCCCCTAGAGTCAGGCATGACTGGACTTTAATGTCAAGGGGAAACCTTTACCTTTTTAAAGCTCTTTAGCAAGAAGCACCCATCAAGTTAATGAGCCAACTAATTGCAGATTAAGTTCTGCCCTTGTCAGAAGTTGATCCTGAACTGAATCCCCATCCTCACTTCTCCACCAAATGGAGTTAGCTTCACCTTCATAGAAGTCCCTGCTACTTGTGGGCCAGAAGACAGGAACAGTGGATATTACTTAATTGACTTGCTCTCTTGATTTGTTATTAGACAACTGGACTTATTAGGTTAAATCCCTCCTCATCTGATCTTCCTTGTTCCACTATGTTTCCTCCAAACCAGAAGTGGTCTGGTTCTCACTAGCCACTTAGCTTATCTTGAAGTTTGCTGGCTTTAGCATTTCAGCTAAGAATTCCAACCTGCTTCTTTTCCAGCTCATATTCAGAGTCTCAGGCATCCACTCTGGAATGCTGAAGTTTGGGAGAAGTGGGCCCAGACCCTACACATTGTATATATGGGCTGGAGAGGGGATGTCTGAAGAGCCCCTGATGAATCTACTTGAATAGAATGTAATGAGAGAGACATTCTCCTATTTATATCCTGCTCACTTTTTTCTTTGGACACAGAAACTGCTTAGTCTACCAGCTTGGGTGCTGCTAGATGAAGATGTCCGACTGTTTTTCCATCAGTCAGACTTTGACAGTGAGCAGATACCTCAAGGGCTGCGAAGGCTTCGCCCACGCACTCGCCGTGTGTAAGTATTTCTTTCCCAGACTTTGCCAAATATATAGTGTAGTCTTACTTGCCTGTAATTTTAATACCTTTGTTTCTTAATGTATCCTTAGTGAAGCTTATGAAATATTGCTCTCCCTCTTCTTTGTGACAGCAAGAGCATTTCTCCCCAAGAACCTGGCTTTGACAGACTGGCAGCTCCACGGGCTGAGGTGGGTATCTTATTCAGCATGTCACTTGCTATACAAAAGACTGCATGGTCAGGAAAACAATTTTTTGAACATGCAGTCATATATTTGTAAAGAAATTGTTTGTCAGAACACTGTCTGGGTTAGGGATGTTGGAGAAATCCACATCAGGCTCAAATGAGTTCAAGTTTCTAAGACTCTGGCCTGAAAATTTCATATTGGATTGACTTTTCCCCAGTCTGTGAACTTGTGGACTGTTTTTCAAAGAATCTTAGAATAGTAGAGTTGGAAGGGGCCATAAGGTCAGTGGGTCCAACCCCCTGCTGTTGCAGGGCACCAATTTACACCATCCCACTCAGATGGCTGTCCCATTTCACCTTGAATATCTCTAGTGTGGGAAAGCCCATAACCTCTCTAGGCAACTGGTTCCACTGCTGTATTGCTCTGACAGTGAAGAAACTCTTTCTTATATCTAGCCTGAACCTGTGTGTAATTTTACACACAGATAACTAAAGTGGACCTACATGAACATTTTTTCCATATGCTAAAGCATGAAAATATGCATTTTGGGGGGATTTGTGAAGTTTGTGTGAATTTGCACATTTGCAGAAATGCAAATTTGCACAATTCCAAATTTGCATTAAGGCATATGAATAGATTTTCACAAAGTCAGATTCTGCCAGTGTGTGGATAGCAACATGAAAGGCACTTGACAATCCATGAAATGCAGACAGAACAGTTTGTACAGCATCTGTGCATCCTTACTCTGGGTCAGCCAGCCTGGGCAAATGACAATCTGCTTCTCCTTCATTTCTGAGAGCATATTAGAAATGGAGGGGAGGTAAAGAAGCACAATGAAGGGATTTATCCCTCTTGGCAGGGATGAGCAATGTTGACGAAGTATCTAATAACTATTAAGGAAGAGCAGATCAGTCTATTTCTGGTGCATGTTGTATTCACATATGTTCATTTTAAGTCTGTTCTGCTTGGTTTCCTTTCCACATTAATCTCTTGTTACTTGCAAGAACATGAACAATGAAAAAGTATGTGAATACACATTTTCAAATGCATTTTTCATAGAATACACCCCTTTTGAACACATTTTATCTCAAACTGAAACCATTTCAGATGTATATGTTAAGCAGGTCAGAATTTGTAGGGAATGAATTCCTCAAGTATCCCTAATAGCCAAGGAACTTCCTAGGAAGACCTGTCCCCTCTAAAACACTCTGTTTTCGCAATATGTATGCATAAACAGAAGGAAGATCTGCCATATGTGTTACTTAAACCCATACAAAAATTAAAACTTTCAGTCTTGAAATTACTGATGCTTAGGGCTAGTGCCTTCACGTTTAAAATCATGATATACTGCCTTGTGTGCTAGTCTCAGATGGAGTTGGTGGGGGGGTCAACTCGAAGGTGGACTGACTGATCATATTCTTTCAGAATCATATTACAGTTGCCATTAGTGTTTCAGGAGTAGATAGTTTTGCAGTGGGGAAACACTCCCCTGTAGCTGCATGGGCCTTTGCTAGGGACAATGGCCACTTCCACACTGAAAAAAGGACAGAAGAAAACACACGTTTGTGTAGGCTAAATGTTGTAAATGTGTATTGGCATAAGCTCTGAAATAACTCCTATAATTTAAATAACAACCTCGTCATCCCCCTCTAGTGGGGAAGGCTGTGAACTGTGTGCTTGCTCAATCTGCTATGGAGGTGCTGTCCACCTCCAACTGTCCCACTTCAAGAGAAGTTGCTGTCTCTTGATGGGCAACTTCAAGGTCTTTGCTCTACCTCCTATGGTTCTCCATATTGGGCCTGGACTGGAGAGCCCTTAAATGGAGTACATTTGGCCAACCTCGTCTTTGTAGTGGGATGGACGCCAGCTACAGGCAGATATAATGGATTCAGGTATTGGATAATCAAATGTTGGCATTGATAATCTAAATTATTGGACATTTGTACTACACCTTCAAAGAATGGGAATTATAGGTATGCAGCTGAAGCCTAGCTAGGATCCAGTTTTTCAGCTCTGCCACTTTGTTTTCCACTGTTGGGTTGTTTCTGATAGGCGCTGTTCGATTTTACTGCATCCACTAAACTGGAACTGAGCTTCAAGAAGGGAGACTTGATCTATTTACTCAGCAGGATCAACAAGGACTGGCTTGAGGTAAATATAAAGGCCTTATCTGGTCATATACATCACAAGTCTGAGTTGTGATATCTGTCCAGCTTGTTTAGAGCTCCCTTTTAATCAGGTGGTGTTTTAATTTCATTACCATTACTGCATGGATAGAAATAGCACCAGATTCTGAGTGATAAGCTGGTCTGGAAGCACTCCTGAAATTGTTCCAACTCATCCAAACGGTTGTTCCTGGGTCTGAAACCATAGCAGTGATGAAAGTAGCTAGGGGTTTCACTTGAGGGCAGGGGCTGTTACTTGATTGCAAATTATCCTCCACCTAGCAATGTAGATGATACTATTGGTCTAATGTTACTGACAGCTTCCTTGTTCTGCATAGTTAGCCTCTGCGTGCCAGGATTTACCTGGTTGCTACCTTGTTCTTCTGAGGCTCATTTCATAGCACAATAGACTCTCTCACAGAAATCTTCTTTGCACTGCATGTGTAACGAGAATTCATGTCCCAGATCTGCAGATAGTGACATTTTGCCATGCTGATCTTGTTGTGGGCCATCCCTTTTTAAATTGGGTGTTCTGTTCTTGTGCCAGGGAACTGTCCGAGATGCCACCGGCATTTTCCCATGTGCTTTTGTGACTATCATCAGAGACCTCCCCCAGGAAGAAGACCCTATCAACTGGTTGCGCTGCTATTACCATGACGACAACGTCAGCACCATCAGGTGAGCCTGCTTGACGTTTGGCATCCTTTCTCTTCCTTGCTGCCAAAGCTCTGAATCCAGGCAGACCCCAGGAGAACTCTTTTGTCCTACTTCTGAGCATACTAGTACCAGTGAGGGATGGATTATTGTGGATCAGTTTAATATTTATGTAGCCCTATCAGCATGCATGTTGCTTTAGAATGTACACAGTGACACGTCTGTGCGCCAGAGAGCTTACAGTCTAAAATTCGCTAGAGGGGAAGCACCAGGGGATGTGGAAGGAAGTAGAGGGAGGGGTAGGTAAGAATATGAATGGAGATTCCTTGGGAGCTATTGCAGTGCATCGGCCGCACTAGGGACCAAGCCTTCCATGGTTTAAGTCTTGCCTTTGCCATGAATGTAGTTGGTGGTTTTAGTTGCTTAATCTCATCATTTGCAATATGAGGGCTAATAAGACTCACCTACCCTGGCCAGTGATTGTCCCAGTTCAACTGCCACCATGAGCCAAAGAGCCAGAAGAGCCCTGGCTTGTCATTTATGTATAACATACTTGTTCACACTCGTAGCAGAGACCACTGAACAAACCATACACCTTCTGTCTAAAGTTTGTTTAGTGTCCTGTGTAAAGTAGGAACTTTGGCTTGTCAAGAGAAAGACAAGACAGAGTTCTCCATTTCCATGGAACACCAAACAAACCATGGATATCTCCTGATTATAAAATGATGACAAAAAGAAAGGATGTGAGCCCTGCGACTTTCTGCATGTCCACATCAGCCCAGGTGATGACACTTAGCCTGTTTGCTGCTGCTGTATTTGGCTGGTACTCTTTGGGAGAGCTGGGCTGGGCTGCAAGGCCCTGAACATCAGCCCTAATGCTAAGCCTAAGCTGCACCGTTGAGTGAAGTGATGCACATTACTACCTAAAGAGAGGGGTTGAGGATCACTAAGCCCAGTGTTTAAACTCACTTAATTCACACTTTAGTCATGTAAAATGTTTTGCACCAGAATTCAAAAAGTGAAGGGTGAATTTGCTGCTGTTAGTGTCCTGATTTCCTTCATAGCATTTTTGCCAAGCTAATTTTGTTAATTTCTCATTCATGTTTCTTTCAGGGACATATCAGTAGAAGAGGACTTAAGCAGTACCCCATTATTCCAAGACTTAATGGAATTAGTCAGGTAAAAGCACACACTGATGAACTCCTAGTTAAAATAAACCGAAGGCATTTGCTTTCATGTCCATTTTGCTAAGATCCCAAATTATCTCTGTAACTGTTCCTGAAAAGGTTTGCTTCTGCTAGGAACTGAAATGTTTCCAAGACTGTTTTAACAAAAATGACTGAAAGAGCACCTGCATTCTTTCCCCCCTTCTAACAAGTGTTCTGTTCTCTGAAGCAGGTTATGCTATTCTTCTGTAGAACTTTTAACAGAGCTTGGATGTCTTTAGTTTGCCATTTCAGTGAAGTCTCAGGTGTAGGATACACTCAATCTGCCAGCTCAAATACTTCTTCTGACCTAACCCCACGTGCTGTCCTGATTTGCACTCCACCCCGCCTTTTAGTGCCAAATTTAGCACCTCATTAAACAGATAAATTGATATGTGTGTCCGTTAGTGCTGGTTTTAGTGTAACAGCTTGCCTTCTGCTCAGTTGTCTTGCCCTTCCTCCTATGTCTTCATCAGGATGTTGTAGACTACCGTGCAAATGTGTGTGTGTGTTACTAGCTTGATTATACATATGTGTACCTACTCCTCAAATGTCATGAAGCAAATCTGCTTGCAATGTTTAGTCTTTTGATTTTAAATGTTTATAAACTGGCCACCACTTCCAAACACCATTCCCTCCCCTTCTCTTTAGCTCAGGAGTGGGAAGGTTTTTGGTCCCAAGAGCCTCAAGTGGCACAGGGTGGCAGATTGGGAGTTGTGAACATCTGTGCATACCAGAGAATACACTCAGATTTGCATACATTCATATACATACGTGCAGAAATGGGACCACTGGGAGAAACGGAAGCTAAATCCTCTTTTCTTCCTTCATTCCACAACAGCAGTCCTGAATGCTTTGGGGTCACTCTGCAAACAGGAGGCTAAAGAATACGACCACTATCAAATGCTAAGTGCCAGGAGGATATAATGAAAGAGGTGTTAGGCTTCGACTTAGGAAGTTTGGGTTGGAGCTTCTGCTCAGCCATGAAGTTCACTGGATGGCCTTGGGCTAGTTCTCATCTCTCAGCCTAACTGACCTCATGTGGTTTTGGGGATGAAGGAGGATACTATGGATATCACCCTGAGTGCAAGCAGCCGGGGTGGAGGGAGCAGGATAAAATGCAGTAAATACATGTTTTAAAAAGGAAATGAAGCAGGAGTTCAGTAATCAGGAGAAGATGAAGATGCACAAGCTGCAGACCAGTCACAGTGTGCAGAAATTGAGAAAGGTGTGTGGTCCATGGACAAGAAGGCGACTGGTGGTAACTGACTCAGAAGTAGCCCAACAGCTGCTGCAGGCATGCCAGTTTTAATGTAGCCATAGTTCATGTGTGGAGCCATTCAACCCCTCCTATCTGCAGACAGAGCAAGCAGAAATGCCTTTCTACTGCCAGTCGGATGATCTGATCGATCCGATGGACATAAGGCAGTCTCCAGCACTGCTGTCTTCCGGTGTGAAAACCTAACTGCTGGGCCATTCATTCCATTGTGGGCGGCGGGGGGGGGGGCACACATGCAGCAGGGAATATCTGGTCATCCTACCATATCTTCTTGACTGCTTCCCCAGTTCAGGAAGGCCTTGCAACACAGAAGGAGCTGATGCTTTCAGCCACAGTGCACTCCAAATGGAGACCTCTTATAGGAGCTCAGGCAGGTGCTGATCTAGATGTACAACTCACGTGCATGTAGACCCAAGTGCAGCTGGCTGGTATTTTGCCATGGTGCTGAAACTCCTGTTGCTGCAGTTATGGGGAATGTGGAAGGGAGAGTATTTGACCCAGGCAGTTACCTGGACCCTAGTTCTGTCAGGTTTGGATCTGAAGGCTTGTTGGAGTTGTGGGATCCTGCTGGGGGCCCTGCTCTTCCTTTTCAAATCCAAAGGAGAACTCAGATGCCTGGACAAGGCAAAGCTGGACCTTGACATTCTTCTATGTCAAAGACTGAAGCCTCCAGCTCTCCCTCAGGTTGTTCCTTTCAGGAACTGGCAGAGCTGGAACCAGGATCCTTTTGCGTTATGTCTGGCTGCCCCATGTGGTAAGCTCATGGGACTGCAGTTTGGAACATCTTCCAGGGACTGAAGCATTCACAGGGGCGGCCATCCAGGCTGGCCCAGGAAGGGCTAGAAAAAGCTTCCAGTCTGGGAAAAGAAGATGCCTGAGCAACCCAACTTGCATCCCAGGAAGGGGCCTCTGCATGGGGGGCAGGGGAACTTGAGCAATCACACAGTTGCATCCTCCTGCTCCTTTGGTTTGGCTTTTAACATTAAACTGGGAGTATAAAGAGCATCTCCTGATAGATCGTATTTCTTGAGGAAGATTATAATAGCTGTCCTGCCAATTGTTCCTTTGTTGCAAATGCTGAACTGAAGTCATTTCTGGTATGGACATCAAAGGAGATACTCTAACCTCTTTGTGTGTGTGTGTGTGTGTGTGTGTGTGTGTGTAAAAAAAAAAAAAACAAAGCACACACCCTGGATATGTGCTGGCCCATTCTTCTTGACAAGAATCTGGGCATAGCATAAATATCTTTCTTATTTTACTAGGCGAGAATTTAAACGGGATGATATTGCCCTGAATTACCGTGATGCTGAGGGAGATCTGATCCGTCTACTTTCGGATGAAGATATTGTGCTCATGGTGATGCAGGGCAGGAGCTGGCCTTTTGAGAAGAACATCTTTCCATGGAAACTGCATGTTACCCAGCAAGATGATTACAGTGTCTACAACCCAGCAGGACCTGCTGTCTCAACATGAATAATACGACTGTGATCTTTATGGCCCATGCTGCTTCAGCAGGAAGTAATAGTAATACAACAATGGAACAATGAGGAATTCACCTGCTATATAGATTAAGAGAATGCATTAAATAAATGAAGATTGGTGGCTAGGATTCCTCAGGAATATACAGGCTCTGTTCTTGGATTAGACCACAGGTGGACAACACATGGTCCACAGGTTCCATGCAGCCTATGGAGGCTGCCAGTGCTGCCCCCCATGGGTGCTCTGCCTTCCCAGTTTCCCCTCCCTACAGCTGCAAACAACCCCCTAACTCAGGGGATGCAAGGAGCTAACACCCATGGCTGTATGTAGCAGCAGAACTGGGCCAATGTCAACCCATCATGCAGCTGTTTGGTGGGCAGGTGGGAGTCCAGTTCTTCTGGGGAAAAGGTGTGCAGGGAGGCTGTTGTTCACATGTTCATTTCCCAGCAGAACTGGATCATCCACCAGCCTGCCCAACAACTGACTGTCAGGCTGGCAGCAAAACCCTACTTTTGCTTCCATGGGCTGGTTGCAGTGGAACATGGTAGCTTGGAGAAGTGGGAAGTTAAATCTTCCTTCTCCCAATGGTCAAGATCCAGGATGTTTAACTGTGTGTCAAGACATCCTCCTCCATTCCAGCAACCTGGATCATGATCTCTGGGAGGAGGAAGAGACTTCAAGAGAGCCACTATGCTGCAATGGTCAGAGTGTTGGGCTGCGGAATCTCAGAAATCCGGGTTCTAGTCCTCACTCAGCTATAGGATCCTCATGAGGTGACTTTCAGCCTGTCATCAGCTCTCAGCCCAACCTACATCAGAGGATTGTTGTTGTGAAGATAAAATAGAACTATGAAGCCACCTTGGATTGCCCAAAAGAGGAAAAATGGTGCCATAAGAATAATTTAACCTCTCCTTCACCCTACCAATCATAATTGAAGGTGCTGGGGAATATAGGTGGGAGGGCGGAGGAGTAAATGTGTGGCTGTGTGTGGGTGGGTGGGTGCATGCATGCATGGTGACAGGAGGAGCGCAGCTCCTGGTGGTGGTGGGCCGCCAGGAAGCTGGAATTGGCTTTGAGGATGCTCACCCTGGATTATAGCTAGTCATCTGCTCTGATAATTGGCTCTTTGGATACTAAGCTCTTGTTTTGATTGAAGTTTATAATGTTATTTTGGTATTTATTAATTGATTCTTATGGTATCATAACATTTTATCATGCCATTATATAACACTGTAGTAACAAGATGCTACAAGAACATTCAAACACCTGTGAATCACTTTGAATTTCCCACAATCTAATTTTAGTATTGTGTTTTTGTTATTAGCAATGAGGAATGTCCTTTTGTTCATTTTAAACATGCTGCTTAGTAGCTTCCTCAGGTGGCCTTTTTACTGTTATGCAAGCCTGTAACACATATCTTTATTCAGCTAGCTATCTTTGAAATTCAGAAAGACCAAGCAACCTGGAGTTTAAAATGCAAGGAAATCACTTAAATGCACACAAAACTGTATATAATAGGATATAAAAAGGTATACATTATGTCTGGATATGTGTGCTTTCGTGCTCATTTTGTAATCAAAGAACTGTATTGCAAAATTCCAAGAAGAACAAGAAGTGAAGGAAAACTGCATTCTAGTTCATGTATTAATTCTGGAAGTTCAAGTTAGGCCATTTTAATTACAGTGCAAACCAAATCTCCCAACTTACATTTCTTGTGCTAAACTTTTGCAAATTGTGGAATAAATAGCTTTCCTTTTAGGAATTTGGAACACTGATATGGCACTATGGTTTCTAGTTACTGGATCTTCAATCTCCTAACCTTGTTTTCTGGGATGCAGCCTCCTCTACAATTGAACATAGCTGCCATATGGCTATGCACTTTAATTTAATCTGTACATCTAAATCTGTTATTCACCTTTATTCTCTCCTCCTCCTTTCCCGCACCACCCTGGACACATGGCCTATGAGGTTTCCCATTATCTGCCTTACAGAAGATGGTAGAAAGTCAGTGACAAAGAAAACTTGGAAATACAGTCTGGGTATTTGGACAAGGATTTCTAAATCATTCATTGCATCTAATTCTCTAACATTTCACAGATGAAAATATGAATGTGCTTTTCTCCATGCCTGAGAGTTGCACCCTGTCCCCACATCTTGGCAATTTCTGACTACTCTGCTCTGCCTCTTGACTGCTATATTCATTTACCAATGTTAGTTGTGTACTCCTTTAAAGCAAGAGGGTATGGGTTCATTTAGTTAAAAGACTGTTAGGAAAAAAATATAGACAGAAGGATATCTGGACAGGATGAGAAAAAAGGTGGAGTGTGTGACTGTCCTAGTACTTTACTAAGTTAGCAAATATCAATAACCACCACCCTAATATCCTACTTCAGGATGCTACAGTTTTAGAGGAACCAGTGCACACGGAGGGGCTTCACTCTCTCACGCCAGATGCATCATGATCTCCTACAGGAGCAGAAGTGGCCATGTGTCCAAGCAGACAAGCAACATTAGAAATGCAGGCTCATCTGGCAGCCTGAATCTGACCAGTCTAGCCAAAGTTGAAGTCGTCTGATTATGTCCTGAAGTGCTCCCAGTAATCCTTTGCTGAATATCTCCACTGCTCTTCTATGTATCTTGATCCTTATCCAGCCCGTGAGCTCCTTGACAGTGCAGAATTCTGAGCTACACACCAAGGGTGGCAGGATGGCTAGAGACAAAAGGCATGCCTTCCCATGCAGAGATTTAATTCCTAGAGATTCCAAAGATGAACCTCAAAGAACAACAGTGCTAGCAAATCATGCAAAGAAGACACCAACCTGAAATGCAAAAATATGACTAGTGATTTACTGTACATGGGGACCTGAAAAGGGGGACGTTCCCAGGTGAATACAGACAATTGAAGTGTATGTCATTGGCGTTGGTGTAGTGAACAGGGAGGCAAACATATTGCCCTCCAGATGTCACTGGACCACAGTTTGCACCATCCTTGTCCAGTGTGATGCTGACTTGGGCTGTTAAGAGAAGGCGTCAAGCTGGGCTATATGGCGAAGTGCAGCAGAAGTCAACCTTCAGGGAAAAGGGAAGTTGTTGTTTACTGGAAGAAGCAAAACTACCAGGCATTTCTGGGTGATGCAAAAATTGCTGAGGCATGACTGTAAGTTGTGGTCAGGAAGTGAAACAAGACTGTGCAGGCACTGTAGCTATTGGTCCAGACTCCTGCTGGATTTTGATCTCTGTCTTTCAGAGCTTGCAGCCCCCTGTTTACAATCACGGCATTCAGGACTCCATACGCTCAGCGAGCATCTAGAACCAGGCAGCTGGAAGAACTGGACAGGGCTATCAGATACATTTGATATTTTGGATCGAAATAATTCCCCATCTCTGTGCATCCATCCTGTGGGACCCACAGAGGCCTTTCAGAGTTGTGTTGATTCCATGGACCTGCAAACTATTCTGAAAGCTTTCTGGAATGGTACTGTCAGGACTAAATGGGCTGAAAGCCTGAAACTAATGAGAACAGTTTTGACTGTTAAGATGGGAACCTGCTCTGACCAGGAAACTAAGTTGTTAGCCTTGTTCCTCACCCTTTGCTCTGAAACTTCTCTCTTACTCAGCCCAGTCAATCATTTTGTTTCTGTTCTCATGCGCCTCTTGCAAACTGCCTCTCGGATCCCCCACCCTCCTCAAACTGCCTATGTAATAAATAGATTACAAAAGAATCCTGTACAGAAACCATCTTTGTAGTCTTTCTGGGCTAAATATATGCTGCAAGTATTTCCTGTATGTCTGAACAAATTGTAGTGTTCTTTTGATTGTACAGTCCCAGCATACTTTCATTTACTGTTTCTTGTATACACCCTTGCTCATACAAAACTAAACAAAAATTTCTTTAGTTACAAAACTAACTACAAAAGAAATTAGTTTTGTTTAGAGATGGACTGTGTATGTGTGTTTAACAAAAATAAACATTTAATGTTTTACCAATTTTTAGCCAGTGCTTAATAGAGCAGAGAAAACTCTGATTTCTCTTCAACCTCCGTAGTGCAGCCATGTACAGGGTCCCCCTGCCCCTTGCTCTGCTCTTTGCTTTTACTGTAACAAATGTGCGCTGTTATGGACCAGTGAAAGGTCCATACATTCTGAGAAATTATTTAGTGTACTTTTCCAGGGGAAAGATAAAATTCTCATCCATCAATCAGCAAAGGACAGAGTGCAAGGCACCTGACAATCCACAAAACAGAGTGAGCTGTTCACTTTGCCTGTCATCTTGAGCCATGGTTAAGGAATGCCACCTCCGTCTCCTCCCATCCAGTTCTGGAATGCCTCCTTGCTTTGCCAAGGTGGACTGGTCCTCATACTCTTTCTGAGACATTTCACTATGCAACTTTGAAGCTGCCAAGTCACCTGCCCAACTCGGCACCTCCGTGTCCTCAGCATCTGAGCAGACAGTAACGTGCAAGAACTGGGCTCCCTTGCTGGAGGAAAGGCCAGCTTGCAAAATATTCTGTGGTCTTTCCAGTCCTCTTTCCAGCCAGTCAGACAGATTTTGCTGCTTCGGCACGTTTAATGCAGGAGAGAGATGAAATTGCTTTGTTCCCCCTCCTACCCTGCCAAGCTCATGCCAGCGGGCACAGACGAGCCAAGGGCTCCTAACGCAGAGCCTTGTCTATGGGAGCACAACCCATAAGATCAATGGCATTAATGGCATGGCAAATTTCGTAGGAACAACGATGCCAGGGGGCAGGAACATTTTTTGTTTTCCAGATATTTCACAAGCAATGCCAAAGTCCACTTCAAGTGCTTAGCATTCCATTCTGTTAAAAAACAACAACAGAACAAAGAACTTTTATGCAGAATACCATAATAGGCCATCTTTCTACCAATAAATGTTTCCTTCACGTTTTCTGGATAGGAATGTGGGCACTTCTCCCATGATGGGCTTATTTATTAATTCACAGCGCCATCCAGTGTGCTAGGCACTCTGGAGAGAGTCCAGGTGTAGAGAACAGATCTTTTTTCCAGCATTTGAAGTGATTAAAAAAACCTGGATTTTTATTTTTGTTTTGCTTTCCTTTTTGCTGCTTGAATAATCTTTGGCCAACACCCTAGTCAGAATGCATGTACTGAAAGCTTCCCTCTCCTAATTGCAAACCCCCCAGTACTTATAATCCATGCAAATTTAATTCTACAAGCAATTAGCATTTCTGGATGGCCTGGACATGGATGATGCTTTCTATTTTGCACTGACTCAAACCTTGAGAGAGTGGATGCTTTCTTTTCAGGCTAAATATAATCATGAGAAAAACATGTTTCTCTCGCAAAACAGGAGAAAAATGAGGAAGCTGGCAACAGTAAGCACTAGTTTGGTGATACTAAGTTTTTGGATTCACTCTCATAACCAGGTCTGTGATCTGCACAGAACATTTGTGTCAGGACAGTGGTCCATTTAACCCAGTTCTGCTGACATGAACTGGCAGCAATGCCTCTCTGGTGTTCCAAGTGTGGGTTTTTCCATTGCCTGCTACTCAAGGCTCTGTAAGTGGAGATTCCAGAGATTAAACCCAGGAGCTTTTGCATGCAAAGCAGGCAGGCTGCTATGAGCCCACGGGCCCCCTCCAGACCGCTGGCATGCATGGCAAGTTTGGAAAGCCCAAGCCTTTTACTACAGGGAAATGGCCTAGTGGCACAGTAGCAAAATCTAATGCGTGTCTGCTCAGATGTCCTGTTCAGTTTAGTGGACCTACTCCCATAAGTGTGGAAACAATCTTAAAGGAGGGGAAATGAACTTCCAGAAGTGGGGACCCTTTTTTGGCTCAAGCAAAAAAGCAGGAAGGAAGGGATGCTGAAAGTTGAAGTGGGAGGAGCCATAACCAAGCAGGTGGCTGTGGTAGCCCTGCTCTCCTCCTCTCTCGAGGATCCACTGTGTGAGGCACTGAAGCTCGCCCGCCCCCTCGCTGTACAAGGCTGCTTCTCCCATTTCCTTTGCAGGAGGAAAAGTGCGTCCTTTACCTGTTCCTTCTGGCCACGGTCGGGTCTGTCGTCCTCTGCCTTTCTATCCACTCTGCGATTCAACAGTCAGGTGTCACAATGGTATGGTGGCAGGATACAGGAACTGCAGTGATGCCTGAGACATTCGTTCCGGTTTGTTCTGCATTAGAAAATGGAAAACTGGCTTTCTTCACTCATTTGCAAAGGAGTAATTTGCAATGGAAATGGCTGCAAGCCATGGGAGAGGCCCTGATGGACTTGAAAACTTAGGTGAGCGAGGATCATGAGGGCACAGTAAATGCCTTATGTAGCAAAGCCTGCACGTGAATACCCTTCACAAACACTGCATATCCCTTTCATACCATGAGCCGCATGTGTGCACTCATGTGCATACACAAATATGCACACGCACAAACTTTCTGCACACATTGTATAGGCAAGGATGAAGGTCTGCCACATCCCCAGCAATCTTACACAGAAGCATAGGGCCATTTCCTTAGGGTGAAAACCTATGCTTTTATAGACAGGGGAAATTGTAGACAAGTCCTACAATTCCCATAGTTCCCTGGGAAATGTTGGGAGTCATGGGACATTTTCTGTCTGAGCATCTCCAGGACTGCAGAAGTAATTGTTTTATTGAATGGATTCAGACAACATGATAAACTACACTCAAGGGCTGAATGTGGGCTGTCATTGAACCAGGGGTTGTTATTGAAATGTTGGTTATTGTGCTATCTGAACCCATCTCAGGTAACAAACCATGGTGAACATGCCACAATTCACAAGCCCAAATCAAACCATTGGTTCTCAACATGGGTGGTTTGTGGTTAACAAGCCATGGGGTGTTAGTGCAAGATTCAGATGACAAAATAACATATTTCAGCAACAACCCACAGTTAAATAACAACCCATACCGGACCCTTGAGTTTGGCTTATCATGCTGTTTCAGCTAAGGCAATGATGGGTTTATTGTTGTTTTTACTTTTGCAGAACAGAGCAGTGTGTTTTGCTCATCACAATTGAAACTAGGATCTGCCATTTTCAAGAGGAAGGGCTCTGCTCATGGAAGATCCCTCAACATGGTTTTGGAGATCCCCACTCTCTCCCAACAATGTTCAGTCAGGTCTTTCATCTCTCTGTGTTGTATTTTCAGGAGTCTGGAGGTGCTGGGCTGGGATCAAGTGGGTGGGGAAATCCACTTTCACCGGAACAGCTGATTCAACTGTATCAGTTGATCATCTGATCAACCCCATTTCTCCATTATTCACTTTGGTTGATACATATGCTCAACATTCCAAAGATCAGTCGAAAACTCATTAATGCTGGAGAACTACCTTTTAAATTTATAACATACAATTTATAACTGGGCAAGCGAAACATGAATCATGATGGGGTCAGCTGATCTATCACTAGATTCACGTTTCTACTTGCAGGTGCCAGGACTATCGGACATAATATGGCTGCAGAAAACCTGAAATGGACACAAATGGACATCCTGATCTGATCAGGAAATTATGTTGTCAGCCTGTTCCTCATGCACACTTGCATACATACGCTGATGTATGCCTGTTGTGAAACTTTTAGCTCCCAATCTAATCCATTCAGCCATTTTGCTTCTACGGTCATGTGCCTCTTGTAAATGGCATGCGGGATCCTCCACCCTCCTCAACATAGCTAATACTTTATAAAATCTTGCTGTAACAGAATCCATTTTTGTAGTCCCTTCCGGGGCCTACCTACATGCGCCATGTATTTCCTCTATGTCTGAATAAACTGCAATGCTCTTTTGACTGCACTCCCAGCAAACTTTCATTCACTGTTTCTTGACACAGGGAAGACATACGTCTATGCGATCTTTCGCCTTCTGTCTCCTCTTTGAGCAGGAAATTATAGGCAACAAGAGACGCAAGCATTCCCTTTTGCCAGCCTAAGACTATTTCAGTTCTCTTAGGAGGTAGGAAACAGCTCTTGTGAAATAGATGCTATCATGAAAAAGAAACTTCCTTTTTCTGAAATGAAGAAATTGAAAATAGAAACAGACAAAAGGAAACTCGAAACAGAGTCAGTGCTTGCTCCATGAAAATCCTGTCTCTTGGCTCCGAATGTCTGATTTTTATACCAGTGCTGGTATCTGGAGAATGAAGAATGAAGAACGGAGGGATTCCTGAATCACTGCTTGGCCTCAAAGGAAGTCTGAGAGGCAGAACCTTCTAGTGGTTCTAGAGGTGTCCATCACCCAGGTAAAGAAACTCATCACAGAATGGAAGGGCATTGTGGTTATTTGTTTGGGATTACCTCCAGATATTTTGGGCTTAAGATAACATAACCCTTGACTGGCCAGACTGGCTGGTGATGATGGGAATTGCAGTTTAAGACATTTGGATGTCACTACATTTCCTATTCCTGCATTAATTAATTAATTAATTAATTTAAAGCTTTTATATTCTGCCCTTCACAATGTCTTGGGCAAGAGCAGAACATACCTAAGCTGATGAGAGATCAGGTTGATGCAGGGAGGTGGAAGAGGCTTTCTTCAAGCCCTAAACTGGGAGACCCTGATCTTATCTCCTGTCAGTGATGAGAGTGATTTAAAGATGTTTAAACTGCAAGTAACCTGCTCTTTAAATGCCTCTACAATTTAAAGATATTTAAAGAGCAGGTTATTTAAAACAATAATCCAAGTAGAAAATAGAGGCCTGAATTTTAAAAATCCCCCCCTATTCTATTCTGTGGCTTACTTCTAAGTAGACAAGCCTAGAATTGAGCTGTGTGTTGCATGCTTGAAAGCTGTAACATGGGGGCTTACATCTCAGTAGATATGAATAAAATTGAACAGTGCTTTGCTTGCTTAGCAGAATAATGTCCAAACTAGTAAAAATTCCATGTGCATAAGTGTGTGGAGACTTATGGGTCCCCAGCAGACCCCAGATGGAGCCCTCAAGCCAGAAAACACTGCGCACTCCTGCCTTAAATGTATCTTGTGCTACAGGAGTTAGCCCTGTTTGTGTGATCCATCAATGGCCAACAAAGGAAAAAAGTGGCAGATCATAAGGGTAAGGTCTGCTTGCACATGAATGCACGTCCATAGGCCTCATCTGCACTAAGTGAAGTGCAGGAATGGGACATGTGCCCTTCTGGGTTTATGATGCATATCTGGGTACCAGCCTTAAGATGTGCCAGCAAGGATCTGTGATGGAATCGGAGTGTTCCTTGTATGTGGCAGGTGAGACCTCCACTGTGAGTGGCAGATCAGATGGGGTGGTGGTCCATGGACTACTATCCGCCATTGGGAGGACCATTGACTACCACTGCCATCATTTCCTTTTCAGGCAGTGTCGGCTGTGTCCCCTTTCTGCTGCAGAATGGGCCTTTCCGAGGAATGGTGGGAGAGGTGGCCCTGAAGACTGCCTGTATTGTGACAGCATCTGGCACGCTCCTTCTCCTCAAGTGGTAGAATATGGATGGGCTCGCCTGACATCTTTAAAAATGAAAACGTAAATTAAAGCAACCTCACAAACTGGGGGACTAGTTTCAGTTGGGGCTGTGGGGTTGAAATTCAGGATTCTTTGAAAAAAAGAAGAGCAGCTTTGTGCCAGGGTACTCTCCTACTTTAGCTTTATTAGCCCCAGATGCTGGACAAAATAATCACCTGGGTCCTCCCTCCTGTCCTTCTGTAGCTGCTAGGATCTTCAACAGGAGGGGGATGGAAAATGGGGTGGGTGGAATGGCTAAGTTCATTCATCATGGCGCCAGTCTACCCACGGAGCTGCTTATAAGGACAGAATGACATTAGAACAGCTGCATGAGGTGGCTCACCCGTGACATGTCTAGTTATGTTCTGAGAGTCTGTGGAATTCTGTCTGCTGGGCTTCATATAGGGAAGTTCCTTGGTGAGGAGATGTGGTGAGACTGGGAGTCTGATCTAATGCAATGGAGTTTTCTCTCGAGTCTCGATAAAAATGAAAGTTCTTTGTCTGTTTGAAGAGACCCCAGAGCCGTTCTCTCTGGAGGGAGCAGCAACCGGGACAGAGAGTCTGGCTTTCAGTGCCAGCTTCAGGATTTTGCAGGCCCTTGGGCGAGGCACCCGCAGTGTGGCTCCTGTCCCAGTGAGCCTTCTTCTCACCATAGTCAGTGGTTGCTATTGCTCTGCTCCTCATCTTCCTTCTGATCATCGCCACTCTGACAGCAGCCAGAGAACATGTTGATAGAGGGCAACTAGAGCACCTTTTCTCACCACCACAGTTGTGTGTGTCAGAGTGAGAGGCAGGTGAACAGGCAAGATGATGAGGAGCAACTCCGAGAAGGGGTTTGATTGCCATTTTTTATTATGAATACTGTTATTCCAATGTTCAGCAGGTGCCTCAGAAACAGTTGCTAATTTTACAAAGACACCAGGAAGGTGGACGGTCATCAGCTGCACTCAGCAGAATTAACACAAGAAATTAATCAGACAAGAAGACAGACTAGAATAACATGAAGCTCTACAGAGTTGTCCTGACCTTGAGTTGCCTTGCTTACGTCATGGAAGCTCAGCGTGAGTTTCAATTAAATGCCCCACTCTTTCTTCTTTTCTTCCTTTTCTTCCTCTCTTTCCCCTTTGCTTTACTGTGTTCTGGTGCACATGTTGCCTGGTTTCTTATCCGAATAGATTGGTCAACACACAGTTGAGCACCATTGATAAGAGCCATGTGGGTCACACCAAGAAGTAGAAATGTGGGAGGCTTTCAGAAAATGAAGTTCTATGGAATACAGTAGGCTGCAATTTGGGACAGACCAAAGAGGAGGAAAAATCCAACCATTATACTAGACAAGGGGTGATTGCAATAATCAGTCAGTTTTTCTGTCAAATACAATTCTGGAGAGGCTCTTAAGGACTGTATTCCCGTGGAGAGCTGGAAGAAAGGGTAAAAAAGGACAGATCCAAAATAGCAAAAATACCCACATAGTTTCACTGAAAGTTCTTAAATTTAGTAACTTAGGAAGGCATTTTAGCTTTTTAGGATGGAAAAAGTCCCTGTGATCATTTGGAAAGCCCCAAGCTATACGTGGTCAGCAGGAATGCAGTTTGGCTATCTGGGAACCCTGGAGAGCTGGACTGAGACCCCAAAACAGCCGGATTTGAACCATGGACCCAAGGCACTGAAGTAACCCAGGGAAGATTTGGCCTGTACCCATCTGGTGGCCTGAAATGCACCTTTTACTGTTCCCTATGTATGCAGGTGGCTGGCATTTGCTCCAAAGTGGAAATATAAAACACTGTACTTTGAAATAAGGCAGAGCGTTTGATGCACATGGAAATGCACTCCATCTGTTCCCTGAAGGGACCTGCCATAGGCAAGTGCTCACTCTACCCCCACTGTGTCTGGGATAAGCCCTGATCATACAACACTGCCCATGCACTGGCCCTGTAGAGCAGAGTAGGGTAAGTAGGAGTAAGCCCCCTGTCCCTGACCCAGCCGTCACATGCTCAGGCACTTCCCTGAGCAGATCTGATGTGCATGCAACTTACATGTGTGCAGGATCTGTACAATGGATCAGGAACCCTGGTTCTCAGCTGGGCAGAGAGCCTCTGTGCATACTCTTGCCGTTGTACATATGGAGGTTCTATTCAAAGATTCCTCTGAATACTTGGCGGCTGGAAGCTTGGAAATCATGTTTCCTATGAAAGCATGATGGCCCTGGATGACCATGTGGTCATCTCACAGTCCCACTCTTCTCCTCCCACAAAGCTCAGAGATTGGAGATGCTGCTAAGGTGTGTCCCAGGGATAGAAGGTGGATTGGTTGGTCACTCAGCTGCACATTTTCCCCAGTCCCCTGCAGCATTTAGAGAAACAAAGTCAAAAGACACCACCTGGACACTTAAAATGTGTGAGTATGGGTTGTATAGGAAACATGGATTGGGAGCAAAGTCTTGTTCTGGAGAAGCCCTGATCCTTTTGGTTCTGAAGGCCTATTTTGCCTCTTCCCCAACAGAACTAGACTGAAGTGACCTGATTTTGTTTGGCTTTGGACTTGGTGTATATCCACAAAATAAACCATGTGAAAGGGAGAAATTTAAACCATTACCCTAAACACTAGAAAGTATGTCTCACTGAAAACACAGAGTTTGCTTCTGAATAAAGATGCATGGGATTGTATCCTAAGCCTATAACCTCATGAATACTGACTTGGGAATAAGCCACAATGAACTTAGCAATGCTTTCTTCCTGCTGAACTTATGCTCAGATGGGCTACTGGTATCTTGGTGGACAGGGAGTTAACCTGAAGATAATGGGATAGTGAATAGTCATATTTTTCAGCCTTGAGTTCACAGTCATGATGATGGGCTGTCCAAGGCAGGACAGTTGGAACGGCCGTCATTCCTAGGGTAGCTGTAAGTCAGAGATGACTTGACTGCACAGAACAACCATGCCTGGAGAAAATGCCCCCACACACTTCGCTCCTGCCACCTCAAAACTGTGACTGTCAGAAAGAGGAAAATTGGTATTCCTTCATTTCATGAACGACAAGCAAGGGATTCACTGGTCATTTACTCCCGACTTATCCCTTGTTCGTTCTTCCCTGACAAGGTGCTGTTCACATCCTCAGAGGCATCTCCTTTCCTTTTCAGAGAGCCAACTGATGCAAAGCCTCCGCTGCTCCACAGACTACCAGTCCTACACCTCCTGCACATGGCAGGAAGAACAGGAGGCCCGGGACATGGTCAAGATGAGCCTTTTCCACACGGACAACCTGTGAGTGCTTAGGGCTGAGCCAGGGTCGAGTAATGTGGACGCTTGCTGGACAGGGCAGGCCTGAGACACTCCCTAAACTTGCTCCCAGAGAACGGGCTTCTCCCGTAGGGCTACTCAAGGTGCTTCTGCTGGCTAGCGATTTGGGCTCATATTTTAAGGTGAACTTATGCAAGTTTGTGCTTTTGGACTCATATGCAAATGAAAAAGCAGTTATCCTCTGAAAATGACACTTTTCTGAATGTTGCTGTGGAGTTCTCAAACAAAGGAAATGTATAACATTCATATGTTAGGAAAAAACATGCACAGCAATGCTTATATTAGAGTAAATAGCATTTAAGATTCAATTAGCAAGGAAACCTGCTTGTAAAAATGAATATATTGAACGAAATGCAAGCAAAAATGTATGTGGAAGGAGAAATGCACACAAAAATGCCACTGAATTTTTACACAGACTGTAAAAAGAAAATGCCAAATTCAGGTAGAAACAGGGAAAATCTGATTTAAGATTGGGGAGATGGGAAGAGGAAAGAAACTGTAACTGAGAGATTCCTTCATCCCTACTGTTAATGTTGCAGTAATGCTACTCAAGATCCCTGTCCCTGCATGAGGAAAGCGAGTGGAATTAAACAGAAGCCCCCAAGATGCTGCCTCCTGTGCAGGGCATACCCGCACCACAAGCTTATGTATCCATTCTGTACCAGTTTCACTGTCTTCAGTTTGGCTTCAGTCTGATGATTATAACTTGATGGGAGAGCAGATAATGCTGTGTTGCTGTTTCCACCCTGTTTAGCAGCTTTCACACAACTACACTGTGGTTGATTGCATGATGAGTTATCGATAGCTTAATGGAAGAGTGTGTGCCTTGCCTACCAGAGGTTCTAGGCTCTAGGCTCAGTTCCTAATTTCTGCAATTAAAAAGGAGCATGTGGTATGTGAAGGCCTGCCTGAGATACTGGGGAGGTGTTGCTAGTCAGAAGAGATACTGCTGGGCTTGGGGAATAAATATTGTTTTTAAGGTATTAGGTAAGTTCCCCTGACATGACTATGAGATGCAGTGCAGAGATGCCATCAGGCTTCTGTTCTCTGTTTCTCACTGGGACTGTAGAAAAACAGCTAAAAAGAGAGGGAGTGGGGGAAATCCCTCCCTGGAAGAAAGATGAAAGAAGGATTTCCCCTCCAGTGCATCTTCACACAGACCTGCTGAACATGAATCTGTTGTAGTTTGGGATGGAAGAATCTATCAGCTTTGCCTTCTCCAAGACTGAATTGTATAAATCTCAAGTTCTTTCTATCCTGTTTTTGAAGATATCTGAACCATGTGCTAGATCCTTATCAGCAAAGAGCTAAAATGAAGTTTCACCCATCTGTTCTGTCCAAAGTCAGTAGTTAGAGCTGTTCCTAGCATGGAGAGGACCTTGATGGCCTGACCTGCCACCTAGCTGTGAAAGATGAAAGGCCTGTCAGAGGGGAGGGAGAGAGAGAGAGATGATCCAGCACCAAAACCAAGGATGAATGTACAGGGATTCAAATCCGGACTGTTAGGAACTAAGCCCTCAAAGCCCTCAGCAGGAAAGGATGAATCTGTCAGTTTGGGTTTCTCCCACATTTTATTTTTCTTTAATCTTAAGTTAGTTCCATTTCATTTATATGGAAATTAGAGAAAGCTGATAAATTCTTATAAAAAACCAAAGCAAACAAAATTCCTACCTATCCCAAGTTGTTATTGGACATATGTATGATCAGTAAATAAATGCATAGAGTGCTGGGAAGTGGGATCAACAGAAAGCCCATGTGCATACAAGGAAGCCAGTGTGGTGTAGTGCATGCACATGGGACTGGGACTCAGGAGGTCTGGGTTCGAGTCCCCGCTCAGCGATGGAATCAACTGGGTGACTTTAGGCCAGTCACAGACTCGCAGCCCAACCTAACTTGCAAGGTTGTTGTTGTGGGGATAAGATTGAGAAGAGGAGAAGGAGACACCCTGAGTTCTTTGTAAGGAAAAAGGTGGGATATCAAATGAATGAATGAATAAATAAATAGCTTTCCCTGTAGGTTTGGAAGCCCTGGTATATAGCATAGCCTGGATCAGGGAAGGAAGTCCTATACATGCACAGCTGTGTGTGTTCCGGCTGTATTCTAGTTGTGTAGTGGATGCATATAATGAGAATGCATGCAATCATGTCACCTCTTGCACACACGAATACTGGTGATGCATGAGAAAAAGGGACAAGTTTGCTAGCAATCTTCTTGCTCTCCTCCAGAAGATGATCTTGTAGTGTTTCGTTCTGCCTTCCTCTTGCATGTTCCTTTGAAAGAGGAACTGCATGTGGGCTCAACAGGAAGCAAGGAAAAATGGTGGTGATGGTGGAAAAGGAGGAAGTGCCATGATCAAGAAAAGACTGAGACTGAGATGTGGCGATAACCCTCCAGCGCACTAGCCTGAACTCACTTTCCCCGTTTTTGTGATCTTCCCCTTTTCTGAAATTATACAAACAAACAAACATAGATACATATGCTCTCTGTTCAGGCACAATGCGCAGAGTGCTTCTGGCTCACCATTACGCCTGTGTTCACAATGCCTCTCAGCTGATCTTTTCCTCCATCTTGTGCCTTCCAAGCAAAGCATACCCGAGTGCAGTTATTCCGTACAGCAGCCACCCCCAAGCTGGCACTCTTTAGACATGTTCGAGGTCAATGCTCAGAATTCCCCAGAAAGCTATGCTGACTGGAGGATTCTGGGATTTGTAGTCCAACACATCAGGACTACACCAGCTTGGGGAAGGCTAATCCATATATTTTCTCTTCCTCCAAGTATCTAATCCATCATATTAGTTTCTGCAGGTTCCATTTAGGTGTGATAGCAAGATAATATACTTTAATAACTACTTATATACCTTTGCTCTAATCTCCTTTGAAAACTGACTAGACTAGCAGCCAATGTGGCCATACATCTGTCTTGCCATACTCACCTGGGGATAGGATAGCAGGTGCAAATCAGTGGCACCTAACTTGCATTGAAGTTTATTAATAGGTCCATCTTTCTGTCTTGCTCTCCTTTTCTGCTTTCCTCCCTAACATAATAACCTAAAGGCTGAAAACTTGTCAGCCAGACCAGAATGGCTCGTTAATGTTTCATTCATGCAAGTTAATATAGGTGGGAAGACTCACTGCATTTGAATATGGCTCTGATTCTCTCCCTGCCACCTACTCACCTATCTACCCACCGAGAATTTTGTCTTGCCATCCAAAATGCAGGAGAAATAAAATAGCTTATTTCAACCATGGGGGAAAAATGGAATGGTCCTAGCCTCAGTCTTGCTGGAAATGATTTACATGCCAAATTTGGGGGTGATAGGATGCTATGGAAAGTATACAACAGAGTGCCAGTAAAGTTGCTTATACCCTTCATGGTGGAGTGGTCTTTGTAAACAGAGCTAAGCTGCCCTTTGGATGTGTGTAAGCTCTGATCTGGTTATGTACTCAGATTGGTTTCCATGATAACCCACAGTGAAGGGTTGTGTGTTATCATGTAATCTGAACCCAACTGTGCTAACAAGCCATGAAATATCCATGAAGAGAACCCATAGTTTGTCATTGGGTTGTGAACTGTGGTTTCACCATGGCTTGTTATCTCAGCTAGGATCAGACAGCAGAATGACCCACTTTTTAACAACAACCCCTGGTTCAACAATCCATACTCAGCCTATGTTCAATCACCAAGTATGGATTATCATGTTGTCTGAACCTAGTCACGTTCCAAAGTGATATATGATCCAGGGAGCTCTCAGAACCACTCTTTAGCTTCTAGACTGGAGCCACATCATGTATCCACCATCAGACCACCATTCCCTGGGACTTTGGCCCCAAAGTGTTATTAGATCTGTTCTGCTTTTAAGAAAGGCTTGGAACAGGCCTAGTTGTTAAAAACCTTGCTAGTTAGTAAATAAAACCATGTTCTTTCAGTGGTCGTAGGAACCTCACCAGTATGATGTGCAATTCCCAGAAAGAAGGCTCTCAGATACATTGGAATTGCCGTATAAACCAGAACATTTTCATCGTGCATTTGGAAAATACGTTTGTTTTCAAACCAGAATCAGAGCTGGAAGTCCAACTGAATGTCAGCCTCTTCGACAATTGTATGTATTTATGTCACCCAGGAATATGGCAGTGTCCCCCATGTGCTATCATCCTCTCCAGTCCAGTAAGGAAAAACCAGTCCTAGTATTTGTTGAGTCAGAGATAATTTGACATGTTGGTCATGAAGTCCCTGGCCACACTGTTGGACAGGAGGGTGAACAGTACGAAAGCAGATACCTAGTCCTGTCACAAATCCCTAATAACTGATAGTTGGACAGATTATCTTACCAGGACTGTGGAACTGTCATAGACCAGAGGTGGCCAACTTAACTTCCAGATGTTTTTTGGCCTACAACTCCCCTCCTTCCTCATCACTGGCTCTTCTCGCTAGGCCTGATGGAAGTTGTCCACCACAACATCTGGAGGACTGCAAATTACCTGCCCATGCTACAGACCAAAATTATCTTTACCCCACAACACATGTCAGGCTTAGTGCTGTACAAGATACTTTGGTGGAGAAGTGTTGGAGATGTATGTCTCCCCCTTCACCCAGCTGGGTCCTAGTGACACATATGCTAATTTGCATGGAGATTTACAAATTTAGAATTTACTATAATCTAAATAGAAATGCATTACATCTCACCATATTGAGAAATACCAATTTACCCAGTACCTGCGGTCTGGGTGCTAATTGTTGGTGGACAATCTCAAGGTGCCTGAAGGCTCTGCTTTCTTATGGCTCTTTATCCTTAAAGTGGACTTGGACCAGGCTGCCCTTCAAATAGGCAACTGTCCTTATTAAAGAAGGATGCATGGCTACACTAGCCAGATGCCCAGAGCTTCTGTACTGTTCATAACAGGCAGAAAATGGAATGTTGGCAAATGCAAGTTAGGAGATAGAAAGGTATGGAAACCCATTTCTGCCAACATTTGGTTTTGCATACAATTCTCAAAGCACAACAGTGCTGCTCTCTTTAATTGCTGGCCACCACAGGCAAAGCTAGGCCTTTCCATATAAGCAGAGGTTAACTTGTGTTTTTCTTTGTTCACTCTCTCAGTCCAGCCTCCTTCACCCCAGAAACTAGGCATTCATGATACATCAGGCAAGGTTCTATTGGCATGGGAAGCAGGTGATGGAACAAGTAGAAGCCATTGGCTTGATGGGGTCTTGGACTTTCAAGTAACCTACAAAAAGGATTGGGAATACTGGAAGGTATCTATCACCATTTTGTACAGTGATGGCAACATTTTTCTTTGCATTTATTTATTTTGAATATGTATTATTATCTGCATATCCTGCCATTTCTCCTCTTGCAAGGAAGACCAGGTGGCAAATATTCTCCTCCTTCATTTTACCCTCACAACAACCCTGTGAGGTAGTTGGCCTATAAGTCAGTGACTGGCCAAAAGTCAGCCAGAGTTGGCTTAAGTAGAATGGAATTCTGGTTTAAAAAACTCCTCTGATTCTGCCAATGAGCTGACAGCTGAATGAAATAGACATGACAAAACCCAGGTGGAGTAGATTTGGTAAAATCAGTACATCTGTACAGATTCAGTCCCTGGTACCTCTGGGTAGTGCTGGGAAAGACTCTGCCTGATGTCTTGGGGAGCCCCTGCCAGTCAGTACAGACTAGTCTTTCTCAGTCTCATGTCCTTCAGCTCCCAGCATTCCTGAACATTGGTCATGCTGGCAGGGACTGGTGGAAGCTGAGATCCAAATTATGTAGAGGGCACGCAACCAAGGAAGGCTGGTGTAGACAGTGCTGAGCTAAATGGACCATCCCACTTGGTATAAGGCAATGTCCCATGTTCCTTTACAATTACTGCACAACAGACAGAAAAATAAATAATTGTCATCTAAGAACAGGTTTCTGCTTTGGGTGGCTATGGAAATGTTTTCATTATTTCCTGTGTTTCCCTCTCCATGCCCACTATTTCCCTCTGTCGACAGAATTCTTCCTTCCTGTGGGTCTCAAATGCCACCAGTTGCTTTCTTCCCCATGAGAAACTTGATCCTGGCAGCACCTACGTCGCTCGTGTCCGAAGCAAACTGCGGCAAGGCAGCCGTCTTGTTGGCCAGTACAGTGACTGGAGCTCTGAAGTTACTTGGAAAACACCAAAAGGTAATTCTGCAAAGTCCTAGCTGTTTGTTTGAAATCAAACTGACAGAAGTGAGGGAAATCCTGGAGTACAGGTGTCAGTTTTGTTTTGGCTTGGTTTCTAAGTTTTCCAGTTGTACATTTGGTTCATTCCAAACCTTGCATGTGAATATTCATGCACATTTTGTGCACATTTCCCCCAAACACATGCCTACAAAACTGAGTGTACTAGATGAATATTTGCAAAAATGCTTTGGAACACTTCTATGACCTTTTAAAACCAAAATTTCAAAATTTGGGATGAACTGAATTCAAAACTGGAGACATCCCCTAAGTTCCAGACAAGCTGAACTTAAAAGTGGAAAAATGGGAAGCTGAGAGAAGCAGAAACAAAGAGATCCATCCATTCGCACCCACACCTTGCTTCTGTGTTAGCACGCCATGAAACTTTATCAAGACTGAAATCATCCTAGAATGAGGGCTGGGCAGGATTGTGAGAAGGAAACAGGTTGTTGTTTGCATGTAAAACCTTCAGGGGAAGGAACTGATGTCACAACATGCAATAAGCTTTGACACAAACATATTTTGACACATGCCCTAACCCTAACCCTCAGAAAGTGGTTTAAGGGCGCAGTCTTATCATCCTCCCCCTAGATGCATGTAAGCCTTCTAACTCAGAGGCTTACAGTACATCCAGGGTCCAAAGGTGAGGTGTGCTTGTGGCATCTCTGCTACCACTGGACCTCTCCTGGTGCCTTTTTATCTAGGCAATCATTTCCAGCAATTTAGGTAAAGTGCTGGGGAGGGGAGTAAAAGAGGGTAGGGTACCAGTAGGAACTGGGTAGGTATAAAGCTTCAGGTAAACAGGTTACAGTCAGAGAACCTTGGGGCAGGGACTTAGCAGAATCCTAAGCCCCCCCCCTCCCCAGTTGATGCTTGGAGGTCATAGGATTGCCCCATAAGTATGTTTGCTGTTCCATGTCTCATTTTATTTATTTATTTAGAAAATGTGTAGGCCGTCCATCGCTGTTGTCTCTGGACTGCTTACAACAGACAGCTTTTACCCCGTTTCTTTTACAAAAACATCAACTCGATGCCAAAGTGGGGAGGTTAGCAAAGCAACAGCCAAAGTGACTGAAGTCCTTCTCCCATTTGGAAAGGCTGGATATAGGCACTTCACGGGGCAACAGAATTGGCTTTTTACTCACTCAAGTGCCTCGGGCAGACAGACAGAAGAAGCAGAAATGGTGGATGTTAAAGAACTTGCAAATATTTATTGAAAAAATATACTACATGAATATGTAATCTTATTAACCAAGTCAATTAACACAACAACCCCACCATCACCTTTCTGTTTTAACCTGATGTGTTAAGGACCAGGAAAATACAGTTTTAGGGGCCTTAACCTTAACAGTTGTATTCCTTAGCCAATAAACATATGAATCTGTGAATAAATTCTCAGACTGGAAATAGCAGGGGCATGCCTTACCTTTGTGCTGTTCCCATGAGTGGTGCATGAAGGAGCCAAGCAACTCAGTAGCCACTCGCTGACTTTGGAGGTGCTGGCATCACCTGCAGGGCCAATCTCAACTTCTGTCATGGACTTTGTTGTGTCCATTGGCTTCGTCTTCTTCAGCTGCTAGTCTGACACTTGATAGATCTTCTCCAGTTGCAGCAGCACTCATTTTCAAATCCGCCTCATCCTTTCTCTCTGGGTTTCCTTTTGTCGAACTCTCATGGCTCCAAGCAAGGCTGATTTCTGATTTCTCTTTATTAGATGGTAAAGTTGAAGCTCAGCCCAAGAACCTCCAGTGTCATTTTAATGGCATTGATCAACTAAAATGCAGCTGGGAGACAAGGAAAGAGGTCACCAGCTCTCTCTTGTTTACACTCTTTTACAAGGAAAATCCAGGATCAGTGTAAGTAATCTTCTTTCGAGTAAGACATCTCCAACCTGTTTGCCCTGTTTCTGTTTTATTTAACTTTTCTCTGTGGTTGCATTGATTAATCCTCAGGGAGAAGGAATGTGCCCCAGTCCATACAGAGAATGTGTCTGTCACCCCTCATTACATATTGCAAAGCTGTAAGATCCACATCACCAACCCCAACAGGCAAAGCCAATACCAAGTAACCGTACGGCCAAAAGAAGAGAAAAAAGTGATGGAAGCTAAAAAGCACAGTAAGTAACCCTTAGAAAGCTACATGTCTTGATTCACAGGGGCATATGAACGCATTCAAACTCTTGACTGAATGTCTTTCCTAGCTTATTCCACTAGTGTGCTAATGTACCAAAGAAACTAATGTTAAGGTAAGACAGATAACAGGGCTGCACCCAACAGAGGCTCAACTAAAAGGCAGATGAAACAGATTTCCAAGAATCTGCAGTCACACAGGGCAGCAATGGATGAAGCTAAACAGTTTGGATCTGGTCAGTCAATGGAAGAGCTGAAGCGCACTTTACACCTGCTGCTTTGAATCACACGGTGGAAGGAAGGTGGGACTTAATTTTATTTAAGAAAATTCTTACCCACTTTTCATTGTAAAATAATCCTAAGGTGGTATAAAGACAATAAAATGCAGTAAAACAGCACAACTTTTAAAAAAAGTTTAATCAGGCAAAGATAAACAATGGCAGATGAATAACAATTTATACCACACAGCAAAGAGGAAAATTTGATCTAAAGCCTGAGTAAGCAGCAAGGTCTTTGGTTGATGACTGAAGCTTTTGTGATTTAGCAGAACCTGTAGTATAATAAATTATGTTTATTAGTGCAATAAAATGAATAAGCTGCCACCTGGGCATTTACCCTGATGAAAGAAGCTGTTGTGAGCTGTGCTTCTCCCTCCCAGTAGCAAGTCTCAGCACTGCTTTGCCAAATGTCTTTATTTTACACGCAAATCTCTGAGCATACACAAAGCGAAAAGTTGAACCCTCTCTGGCATTCTTTGCCCAAAGCTTTCCTTAGGAATCTTTTTGCATCTGGAACCAGGCATGCCTGCAGGCCACCCTATGACTGTGAAGGTGGACTATCAGGTCCAACTTCTCAGGAGGCTGGAGTTCCCCATCCGATAGACTCCCCATCTCTAAATCCCCTCCCTCAAGATGCTGTTGCTCTTTCCCATTCCCATGGGTGGGTTGACTGGGCCCCACTGCTGCCCTTGACCTAATCTCTCCCATAGCAGGCACAAGCAGGGATGCAGGGCCTTGCTCTGTGGCTGGACCCAGGTTCAGTGCAACCATCATCACATTCTCAGTCTGAGCTGTAGTCCTGCCCAAACAGGCAATCTCCCCTGTACAAATCTCATCCTTGGATTCTGAGCTGTCAGTCCCAGCAAAAGAGTTAGCCTCTCATGCACACCCCTGCTGTTTGCCAGAGTGCATGCACCCAAGAAAAGCGCACGAGTCCTGGCTCAGAGGATGCTTCTGGCAGAGCCCCTTTGCCATATGGAGTCACCGGGGGATCTGTGGCACACACTTATGTTGCTTGGGCTTACTCTAACACTACCATGATAAGTTTACTTGCTCTTCGAAGGAGTCACTGTTCATAGCCTCTTGCACCAAAGATGCTGCAGTCCAGCATCAGACAGGAACGAGCAAAAAGCCCTATTCTGGTTTTCTCTTCATTTAGGAGCTGTACAGGTGAGAAGCAAGAGTGGAAATGAGTAGACTAGTATCACTCACCCCCTGCACATCTTACCTCTTTCTGCACCTGGGAGGAAATTTCCTGCAGTGGGGGAGCCTCCTTTCTGTGTGGCAGCTCTCCTGGGAATTTCAGTGTCCTAAATATCGAAAGCCTCAGCGAGCGAGGTCTTCACCACAGAAAGTCACCCTCCCTGTGTAGGGAATGACAGCAACAGTGAAGGCGGGTAGAGCTAGTGCCTTAGCCACACTTCCCCATTCCTCTCCATGTGCATAGTAGAACTTACAGACACAAAGAACACTTGAATGGGACTGAAGGGCCACAGCCCACATTCTTTGCATGCAGAAGGTCTTAGGTTTGATCTCCAGCATCTGCAGGTGTGACAGGAAAAATTCCTACCTGAAACTCCAGAGGGCCACAGCCAGCCAGTGACTAGGGTCAGACAGCACAATAGGCCACACTCAAGGTTTAAGTTTGGGTTGAGTGTGGGTTGCCACACTGTGGCTGGGTTGTGAAATGTGAGTGTGTCATCTGAACCCAACCAAGATAACAAACCATGAGTAACAACCCAGAGTTCACAACTCTGTGGATTGTTCGTGGATAACAAGTCATGACTTGTTAGTGCAGCTGGTTTCAGAGTATATGACAACCCATGTTTCAAAAACAACTCTCACTTGTGGTGTGTGACCCAGTCAGTGCCAATACTATTGGGATAGAAGGACCATTGGTCTGACTCCATATAAGGTACCTGTCTGTGTTCCAGCACTTCTGTACTCTTGATGTATCCTTTGTCTTTAGTCAAGCTAGACCCACCTTATAACCTGACTGTGAAAGTGCTGAACAGCCAGGGGTACAGACTGCAGTGGGAAGCCAGGCGCAGAACCGTAAACATGGGAATGACATGGGAAATCTCATACTGGAAGACAGGAAAACCTGACAAGGTAAGCAGCACTCAACCACTTCACAGTAGGTGAATGCAGCGTATTAGGACAGCTAGTGTGGCACAGTGGTAAGAGTGTTGGACAGGCACACAGAAGTTACTTAAGTAACACAGAAGGTCTTAAGTTACAGGAAGTCAGATTCTGGCTGGACATCGGGAAAAACTTCTTGATTGTTAGGGCAGTACAGTCCAATTACCCTGGGAGGTTGTGGGGTCTCCACACTGGAGGCATTCAAGAGGCAGCTGGACAACCTTCTTTCAGAGATGCTTGCAGGGGATCCTGCACTAGCAGCTGCTTGGGCTTGATGGTCTTATAGGCCCCTTCCAACTCTACTATTCTATGATACCATGACTCAGGAGATCCAGATTCTAGTTACCCCTCAGCTATGAAGTTCACTGGGTGACTTTGGGCTGATCACCAACTCTCAGCCTAGCCAATCTCATGTTGATGTGAGGATAAAATGAGGACAAGGAGAACCTTGTAAGCTGCCTTGGTTCTTCCAAGAGGAATAAAGGAGGACATAAATGCAATATAGCAGCAGAAGCTTGTTTTCTTTCACATTTTCCTTTTTCTCTTCTCAGCCCCAATCTATCAATAATAGTGACCAGAGCTTCACTTTCTTCCCCGGGCTTCTGGAACCAAACACGCACTACACAGCAAAAGTGCGCACAAAAGTGACTCCACCTTCCTACAATGGCCCATGGAGCCAGTGGAGTCAGGAAACTGAGTGGACAACAGAAAGTGGTAAGTTGCTTTTCAAATGAGGGCACCAGCTTTCTTTTGGTCTCCAGCAGTAGTATCGTTTCTTCAGAAGGAGAAATGCTTGAAAGATTTCTGATTCTCTTTCCTCTTGTCTCAGCAGGTTTTGGGCTGCTGTGTTTAATGTTTCAGACTATTATGTAGTGAATATTAATTATTATCAAGCTAGCCCAGGATGTTTTACAGTCTCGGTGGAAACAGAAAATGGTGCCATGGTACCTGAGAGTTGTTGACATCTAAATATCCCACAAAAATCTGCCCACAGACATCCCCTTTGGCACCTGTGAGGTGCCCTTCCCTTCCTGAATTTCATAGTTTTACCTGGGCACATCACAGGCTTGCAGCAAAGTGAAGGGCTCTCTTCCAACTCCACCTGGTACAGAGCAACAGTATGTTTTGCCCATGTTGCGCTTGTGTTCTGTCTGGCCATTTCATTCTGGTATGGTGTGGTGTTTGTTAGTGTTATTGGAGCATCTCCAGCTTGCCTTCTCTAAAAAAGGCATTTTGGAGCAGAAAATTGGCATTTCAAAAGCAGGTTTTTGAGTTTTGGCGTGCAGGCTCCTCTGCCTCACACTTAGGTCATGTGGGAGCTTACTTTGCTTTCTGATGCACCAGCATGCCTCTGAGGAAAGGATGGTTTGTCGCTGGTTATGCCCACCAGGGGAGACATTTTGTGAATGGGTACCTCCTCCTCCATGACAGCCATTTTGTAAAAGCACCCATGACATGCTCCCACGCTCCAGTGTGCCCACTGGCAAAACATTCCGTAGTGAAAGAAGTTTTGGGCTTTCATGTGGTCTTGTCCCACTCTACTTCTGTGGAGAGGGTTCTGAAGGTCAAAAAAAGCACTTTGGAGTGAGTCCAGAGCCATACCAGAAGCAGGAAATTCAGTTGTTTCAGTATTCTGCATTCTTTTTGCCAGGTTCCCATTAGCAGTCCAGCTGCACAGTTTTCTGTCTTCAAAGGCACACCCTTTTAGGGTAAAATCCTGTGCATGTTTAGGCAGAAGGTTGTACATGTTGCTGGAAGCCATGTGGCTTTTTCTGTCTAAACAGTCAAGGATTGTGCACTTAGAGTGCATTGCAGTCATACCATCCAAAAGTCTTTGCTAAGCACCCACATTTTTTCTGGGCATCTTTCCTTAATAACATCTGGAGCAAAAGTCTTGCTGCTATGATTTTAATTAAAATTTTCATTTCCAGGTAAAGCTGTTCCTAACATTCCTATTACTTGATCTTTCTTCATTTTCTTTCCATGATTTCCTTCTGTTTCAGTTTTTCCTCCCTGGGTTATTCTACTGGCTGCAGCAACCTCCATCATTCTGATGATGGCAGGTACTTGGTATGGCCTGAAATATCTTTACAGGTAAGTTGGAGTTGCAAGTGGGATAGATATCTGGATAAATTTCTCCCCCTGTCTCAATGGCAGACTTAGGTTCTATAGCTACATTATACTTACCATGAACCTTTCTACATGAGGGATGTACTGTGAATTCTGATCCCTTACTCAGAGTAGTATATGGGTGCTTTGCACAGCATTGTCACCATCCAGGGCCTCTCTGATTCTTTGCAACCATTTTTACTGCTTTTTAATTTTTTGCTAGATCCAGGAAAATGTGGTATAAATAAATGAATAAATGACCCCTGTATTTAGACAATTCCATGTTGTGTAATATTATACGATATTGTGGTAGTGTAATGGAACATATAGAAAGGCAAAGAAAGAAACCTGTGGAGAAAAAAATCCCTGATTTCCTGCCCCTTCCAAAACTGAGAAGAGCAAAATGAAACCATTCATTAAGTTCCACTTACGATGATGAGCCTGAGTGGAGACAATTCAGGGGAAGGAAGAGACAGATGGAGCTGTTCTCCCAGCTGAGCTGATGAAATGGACCTTGCTCCCTCATCTTCTCTGGGCGCTGCTAGATAGACTGGAGGGTTCTAGAACCTCAATTCTACAGGCCAGAATGTCATAACTCCCCATTCTGCAACTGGTTTGCCACAATTTCTTCCTGATGACTCTGATTATCTTGGCCTGCCCCTAGTCCCCTTCCAAGCCCATCTATAGGATTATGGCCAGGATCTAACCCAAAGGAGTTTCCTAAGAAAAGAAGCACGGAAGCCAAAGGCGAAAGAAGCTGCTAGTCATATCTCAGAGGCAGAGCATGAATGTTTGCCTGATTACTCAGCTGCTGGCAGGAAAACCTCAGATATTATTGTGCACCATTCTAAGCATCCAAAATGAGGGCCAAGTTACATGGTGGATATGATTGGAGGAAATCACCCCACAAAACCTCACTGGGCAACCACTGGTCACTGTATTGTGTGATGAGTCTCCACACCAGTTTCAGCTCCTGCTAGAACCATTTAGCAGTATTGTGGAGAGTCCTAATGGGATGGAGGTGTTTAAGTGATGATTAACCAGATGTCATTGGATTACAGCTCCCATTATCCCAGGCACAGAGGGTGTTGGCTGAGGTTGATGGGAGTTGCCATCTGACAACACCCAGAGCACTTGATAGGGGAAGGCTGCTCCTTATATAAGAGGCAACTTCCTGTTGGAATCATTTCCACACAGTTTGCATGGCTTTGTCCAAGCAGGGATGGACTCTTGCTACTGACAGGACAGAGGGACAGAGGGAGGAATTCCACTTGGCCTGGTTGTATTAAAGTTGCTCTTATGTTTGTCATGGCAGCAAGAAAACAAAATGGGAAGCAACCATCCCAAGTCCTCCAAGGACATTTCTACACGCGGGGTTTTTTCAGGTAAGAGAGAGTTCCTTCAGACTGGACTTTGCATCTTTGAATCTGTCTGGCACACCTGACTGGGGTCCCTTGTTTGAAGAGGCGGCTTTGGATATTTTCCTTGTACAACAGTTACATTCAAGGGGAAGCAGCCCAGAATAAGTGAGTTCTGAAGCCTTCCTTAAAAATGATCCGGGTTAATGTTTTATGCATCTCAGTGAGCAAGGAGCTCCAGACACTGATGGTCACTTCTGAAAAAGTCCTGCCAGTCAGATGGATCTTTTAGGGACACCTCGAAGCAGGACAACTATATACAATTTCTGTATCCAGGTCATGGTGCCTGGATAGGTTTGTATGGGTGCTAGTGACTTTTCATATCAATTGGTTCCAAACTATTTGGAACTCACCTATAAGGCTGATCCATCCTGTTTTGGCAGGAACCTGTAATCTGTATTTAAATACCAATTTTAAAATGTGCCTTCTTTCAAACTAGGCATTATTGAGCATATTTTGGTGTTTTTTGATCTTAGAACTGCACCATAGCATTCCCAAAATGCAAAAGCTGACAGACATGTAGCTTTGAGGTGCCTGCACATATGTTTCATATGCAAATCCTATCAGCCAGATTCCTCAAGGATCCTGACTGTTGGCTGGTTATAGCTTTTCACTGCAGTTGTCAGATACCAGCTATCTTCTTGTCTTCCAAGAGGTATTTCTTGCTCTAGATCAGAGCATCTGATAAAATGGGAGGTCTCACTTTCCCTTTCAGTGTGTTCTCCTCAGCTATAAAGCATGAGGAGAACCTCCGCATCTTTCAGTCATAGTTTTTCTTCCATTTATAGCACATCCTTGCTTCTATGAGCTCACTTGGCATGCTTTGCTCTCCCCACTCCTTCCCCCCTCCTCACAACAATGCTATGAGGTAGATTAAGTTAAGAACTGGGGACTGGCCCCAGATGACCCACTGAGTTTCATGGATAGGTGGCGATTTGAAGCAGGCCAAGAAGCCAGAAGGCCCCAAGTGGTCCAAATGCCTGCACTTTCTAACTTGGTCTTTCCAAGCTTGGGCCCCCACATGTTGTTGACCTATCATTCCTATTGTTTGTAGTCATCATAGCCAATTGTCAATGCTGACGGGAGTTGTAGTCTGACTATATTTGCAGACCCAAGTTTGGCAAATGTTTCAAGTGAAAAAGGGGCCCATGTGTGATGCATGAACAGGAAACCTTTTCTGTACATGGAGCGCCACCAGCCCATCCCCAGAAGAATTGCATGAAGTGCTTAAGGGACACAGAGGTCCCACATGGGGACCCTGAGAAAGGCACTGGCATTGCAGGACTGAGGACAACTTTTGCCACTGGGAGGACCTGGGTCTTCATGCCAGTGGGGGAAGAGGCATTTTTCCTGGAACCCTTCATGCCATGGCTGGGGAACTTATGCCCCTCTGGATGTTGTTGGACTCCCAGCAGTAATAAGAATAATACTGTATCCCAAACAAATTGTGGTACAATATATAAAGTAAAAATAGTAAAAGCTAAATGCTGTGATATTACAAAATTGGGACATGAATAAGAAAATATATATATTTTTAAAAGCTGGAAAAAATATGAATGAGCCAAACACATTTTGACTTTTCATCATTGTCTCTGGCCAGAGCTAGCCAGTACTATGGACTTAGCTCTAATTTTTAAAAATCCTTGGATGAACACATGTGCATTGATATATCTTTGGCAGACATTCATCCTAGATCCATTGGCAATTAGCAAACATAAATAAAGGTATTTTTTTGCCATGTAGACATTGCCCCATCTTCAAATTATTGCAAATCTTACCTTTCAGAGAGTTTTAAAAATATGTTCAGTAGTATACAAATCTCTGTGGGCACTAGGCTCACTTATCCCAAAATGCAGCATTCTCAGACTCTGAATCTGAACTGGGAAAAAAGGCAGGGTCAGAACGCTTGGCTGAAATTCCAAAGCCAACAGATCAGAGATAAGCCAATGGGCTGCTGAAAAGTGGGCCACCTCTAGTTCAGAAGGAAACACTTTTAAATAGGTAGGGCCCGAGCAGGAGGGATGCAACATAATCAGTTTGACGTGGGGTCAAGAGAGCAGACCGACTGAGTAGCATCTTGTGTTCCCGCTGTCTGAATGACAAGCAGTGGGAACCTCCCTGAGGGTGGCACTAATTCCATTTGGTGGGGAAGAGATGAAGAATTCAGTTTAGAATTTAATTCTTGGCATGAGCTGCAATCTCCTTAATTAGCTGGCTTCCTAGCCTGGCAGATGTGTTTTGCAAATGACCTCTGGAATACTTTTATATCACAAAGCTAGTCTGGCTGGCCTACTTTAACATAAAAAGGATGCAATTAGAAATGTCTTGTCCTGATCTGCTTGGAAGAGAAAAGAGGAGACTGCATTCCGACAAACTAGCAAAAATTAGTAAATAATAGAGTTACTAAAATAGTTAAATGGATTGCAAACACAACCATATCCTTCTCCTCTGTTAGCCTGCAGTAGTTTCAAGGCCATGTGACTGCAACTCCCATCAGCCCTAGCCAGCATGGCTAATAATTTGGGATGGTGGAAATTATTGTTCAGCATCATCTGATGGGCCACAGATTCCCCACCTGTGTGGACACATTCCCACATAGCAATGGTTAAACTCACAGTCTTCATAGCACATGGCAAGAAATCTAATCAAGAGATTTAAAACAAACAACACCAAATCAACACAGTTAACTACTTGTGTCAATATGGAAAGGTAAAAATATATTCATATATCCAAGGTTGCATCACTTTGTTACCACCTGTTTACAGTCCCTTATCATGACCTCCCTCTGCAGAGTTCCTGACACATAACCTGAAACAGCAAATACCACTAGAGAAGCAGTGGAGAACTTCAGGTTCACGGGCCTAACTGGAGTTCTTCTACTATGCCTCCATCTGCTTCCTTTCAGATCCCTCTTAATTAGTTCTTCTAAACTGAGATTTGCCCATAGCCCCAGATAATTGAGAATCAAGTAGGTATGGTGTCCTCTAAATTCTAATTTTCTCCAGATTTTGCATGTCACACTTGCCTGCAGCTGCCCTCTCTTTTCTCCATCAGTTTCACCACACCACTCAATTCTCAGCATGCTTCCACTGTACAATAGAAAAGAATAAACCTTTGTACAGATTATCCCTGGGAAACTTGGGAGGTGAAAGTAGGCCCAGACATGCTCAGCCAGAGGTAGTACAAGAGTTCATTTTTTGAGCCTCCCCCAGAGCTGGAAGCAAGGAGATGCTTCCTGCTTTCATGACTTCCAAAAAAGCCTATTCTAATTTAAAAGATAGAATGTATCTCTGGGTGAATACCCTTGCATATAGGTGCCAAGAAAACACTTGACCACCCTTGAGAAAGCAGCAACACAAGACATGCTCTGAATGAATACCAAATATTATTTGGTATTATTGTATCTATTGTGAGCCACACAGAGAGCCCAGATATGGGCTATTGTATTGGTACGCAAATCAAAATAATAATAAATATGAAAAGCATTTTGGGCTAGGCATGGAAACATGCAACACACAGGCCAACTAAATTTGAATTACACATGCTGGCACTTTTGTTCCAGCCCCAAACCCCATTCATTTAGGGGTGGCTGCCATCTGCCCATGTTTTTTTTTCCTTTTCAGGAAGTGCAGTTGCCTGATGTCTCACAGGACTTCCGTAGCCAGTGCTTTTTAGAGGACGAAGGAACTGACTATGCCAACCTATCTGAGATGTGAGTGTATATAGCTGTGACCTGCTGTTTGGTCTAGTTCAAGGCATTCTTGGAACACAGAAAGGTGTCAGAGGACAATTTGAGGCTACAGTCCTGTTTACACTCATGGTGGTTGTTGAGCTCAAGGGTTAAGTATGGGTCGAGTGTGGTTGTTGAACTGTTGCTGAAATGGGGCTTATGTTGCCTGAAACCAGCTGCACTAACAAGCCATGGATTGTTAACAGTGAATAGCCCATGAAGAGGCACCATGGTTTGTTGTTGGGTTGTGAACTGTGGTTTGTTCACAATGGTTATTATTTCAGCTGAGCTCAGACCACTTAATAACCCACTTTTCAAAAACAACTCACAGTTCAGTGACAACCCACACACAACCCCTGAATGTAGGTGATAGCTTTGTCTGTCCCCAGTCACTCAATTTGATTTTGGTACAATGGTTGCCATGCAAGCTGGAGTAATGCTTATTTCTTTTCCAAACAGAACCCGTGGGTTGTAGTTTTGCATGACACTATGAAAAATAGCTAATTAGTCACTTCTCAGCCCCCATGCAATGTAAGATTCCCAGGGTTCTGTGGGAAGTCACAGCAGTTAAACTTATATAAACCAAGAGATATTTGCAGCAACGTGGTGGGCCTTTAGCCTGAGTTGCTGAATGGGTTTCCCTATCAGTGAATTACAAGGTGGACTCTTACAAATTGCCAAGGAAGAGAATTTCGACATTCGGAGGCTTCATGCAACTACATGAATGATGCACATTAGAAACCATTGATATTATAGAAAGGCAGTGCAGGGAAGACTGTGATCAGGACACCTGCGTACCTGCTCAGTCACCTGCGTACCTCACTTTTGATGAACATTTACATTCAGGAAGTGGACATGGAAAGAATAGCCTATCCGGATCCTCTGCCCCCTTTTCAAAATAATCCTGTTGGATTAAAAATCAGCTTAACAAAGCCAGCAATCCTAACCGCACATCTCCTGCTTTGTGCATGGTTTGGAGCTAATATTCTCCACAGGGAAGCAACAAGAGGAGGAGGAGGAGGAAGAGGAAACAGATGTGAATTGAAATATGGAATGATTGTGTGTTCAGTTAAGTTACTCTCCGTTAGGTTTAATTGCAATAAGTCATCAATGGGCAAGTTTTGATCCTCCAGATATTTTGGTCAGCATCTCCCATGTGCTCCAGCCCCATCACCCAGATCATGGGGTTGCAAGCTGAAACATCTGGAAGACCACAAGCTGTTCACCACTGCAATATATGATGAAGATTAAAGGGCTGTGCCTACAGTTGATGAGATACAATGGCCAAAGATTTATGAAAGTGGTCCAGAAGTTGAGGAGAAACAGATTTGTGAAATGGCTCCCTCCTGTCACTAACTGTTTTGCTGATTTTTCAGCATGTTTATTTGGGAGGCATCCACACTGAATTCAGTGGAACTTTATTTATTTATTTATTTATTTATTTTCCGATTTATATCCTGCCTTTTTCCTACAAAGGGCTCAAGGCAGCTTACATCATTCTCCTTCTCCAGCTCATCCCCACAACAACAACCCTGTGAGGTAGGTTGGGCTGAGAGTCTGTGACTGGCCCAAAGTCACCCAGCTGGCTCCATGGCTGAGCGGGGACTAGAACCCAGATCGTCTGAGTCCCAGTCCCAGGCTCTTAACCACTGCACCACACTGGCTCTCGTATGATTTCGTATACATAGTATAGCACTGTTAATCTTTGATTTCACCTTTCTCCCTTCCCCCATGTGAAATCTAATAATTCTGTTAGGTTTTAATTTTGAAGAAATTATTTATTCCCCACCTTTCAATGAACTTGCACCGTCAGTCCATATGCTGCTCACCAACCATGTATAGCATCCCACAGGGGCCTACCTATATCCTTGCCCATGCCTGCACAGGAGTGCTAGAACAGAGGATACCATCTGACCCTCTGTCTCAAGGGAGGGTGTCTCGTATTCTAAGGTATACCCTTCAGCATGGGGACTCTCATGGTCTTGGGAGCCTATTCTTATTTCTCTCATCTCATGATCTCCCTTTACTGACAGATATTCTTCATTTGTTTTCTCTGCTGCAGTCAAATGCTGGTAGGCCACTTGGAATGTCTTCAGGTTGGATCAGGGAAAATAATACCACATCCCATTGCCTCTCAGGATATGGAGAAAACAGAACTTCCTTGTATAGCCAAAGCTAACCAATTTTTGACTCGGGCAAATATGGGAGAGCAACCTGTTTGTACTCATCATGCCCAGATCTTTGATTTTGATGGTCCATACATAAGCTGTGGATCAGAGCCCTCTCTACCTGAGGTTCAGCAGGATTTGGATGTTGCCCATCTGGATATGAAGGAGACAGCAGGGTTTCTACAATATGTGGAGCTGCCCAAATGCTTACAATTCCAGAAACTTCCTGTGGGGCATGAGAAAGGAGAAACACACTCATTCTCTTTTGTCAGTGATCAGGTGCAGGAGGAAAAGAAGCAACTACTGTCTAAAAGGCAACAAATATCTCAAAGCCAAGCGGCAAGTGGCAAATTGGAGAAAGAAGAAAACAAGCCACCAAGTCTTCCCCATACAAATAGGTCCTGCCAAACCAGGCCTCTGGACTATATTGCTGTTGAAGACCTATCCATAAGCAAAGAGAGGGATTCTTCACTTTCACTCCCTGCAGGGGCCTCGAAGGAAGGGATGCCACTTATCCGTACTAAGGCAGCAGAGTTGCCCCGACCCACTGAAGTTTTTTCAAGCTCAGGGTCATGCCAGGAGAAATCAGAGCCTGTGGTCCAAGCTACAGGCCATTCGTTGGCTGCTCCTTCAGGATCTTCCCAAGAAGCCTTTGATGACAATGTTTTGGCCCTTCCTGGTAAAGCAGAATCTGTGCCAAAGGAAAAAATTTCTCTTTCTGTAGAGGAGCCAAAGCAGGACAAGGGCTTTCTTATATTTAACCCTGATGGCAAGAAGCCAGTCTTCTTACATCAGGTGGGTGATTACTGCTTCCTCCCTGGCTCTAAGGCCATCAGGGAAGCCTCAAAGAAACCAGGGGAAACTGTGAGAAGCCAAATGCTGGAAATCAATCAAAAGCAAGCTACAGAGCCCCTCTCAGATCTGCCAAGATGGGAGAGTGTCAGCACTTCCATAAATCCCTCACCTGGCCCATGAGTTTTCCCATTTTTTTTTCTTTTACACTAGTGTCACTGGCATGAATAGAAACAAACAAACAAACAAACTGCTTGGACTGATAGACTGCAGAAATGTGCTTCACTGTGATGAACTCCTCATGTGAGGGTACAGAAATGTTAAAAGCTTTCAGCTTATGTTAACACATCACTTTCATGCCAGCATCGTCCATGCTAGACAACTGTAATTGTACACTTGGATCAGTTTACAAAGAATGGTGCCTTATAGCATGATCTTCTTCTACTATAGTCTTTACCAGTCTGGAGAAGGACCAATGTTGTCCCTGTCTTCAAAAAGGACAAAAAGGAGGATCCTGGGAACCTCACACCAGTTGGTGTGGCATCATTCCCTGGGAAAATTCTGGAGCAGATAATAAAGAAGTCAGTCTGTAAGCACCTTGAAGACAATGGAGTCATTACAAGACTCCAGCATGGATTTATCAAGCACATGTCTTGCCAGACTAATCTGATCTCATTTTTTAATCAGGTAACCTCCCTTATGGAGTGTAGGAATGCTATGGACATAATCTATCTTGACGTCAGCAAAGCTTTTGACAAAGTGTCCCATGGCAATCTGATCAGATAATCTTATGTATTATAAATATGTTTTTACTGCTTTCAGATATACATTTAGCACAGGTTACAGACAGAATAAAACAACTAAAGTGTAAAAGCAGAAAAAATAGATGCCTACAGAACGTTAAAAGCAGCATAAAACAGCCAGCAAGAGTAAAGAAAGCATTTGAAACGCTCAGTACACACATGCTTGGGACACAAAAGTCCTATTGTGAAGGGGAGGAACAGAGGCTGGGGAATGAGGTGGGGTTTAAACTGAGACATTGGCAGGGGCACAAAGGTACGAAGGTCCTCTTCCCCCACGCCATAATCCTGACCCCCATCAGTCTGGCTCTCCCTTGTTGGTTGCAGTTGATCCTCTGAAGAAAGCAAGGCCTCTTTGGAAAAAGACTTCACTGGAAATTCAGGCCTCTCTACTTCATTTCCTTTTTCTGGTAAAAATGATTTTGGGCTGGATGCATAGTTTGTCATATTCAAGAGTAGACTCATTGAAATCAGTGGGACGACGAAAGCAGATAAATACGAATCCAACCCACTCTCTTTTATTTGAAACCAGAATTTATACATCTAAATCTGTTCTGAGAGTCATTACTAGTATCAACTAGTATCTGGGAGGCTTTGACAAAAGCAACGCAGGATTGTATTCAATCCAAGAACAAATCAACATTAAAATGGCCACACCTTTCAGTCTAGCTCTAAAACATTTTTTTGCATGCCTTGCAAATGTTGGGACTGGCCAGGATAGAAGATAGAGGAAAAAGATATTTGCACAATTCTACGAGATTCGGCCACTGCAATGTACTTTAACTTGCAGCCAGCTTGGAGATGAGCCAAAAATCAGCAGCTGGTCAAAATGCTGTGGGAAAGCCGACCAGAGATATTTGCACCATGACTGAAAAAGCTGCACTGGCTTCTAGTGGCTACGGAGTCCAGTTCATGATGCTAGGGCTGACCTATAAAGCCCTATATGACTTGGGGCCTGGAAACCTGAAGAAGTGCCTTCTCCCTTATGAACCTCCCCAGACAGTAAGATTGAATGGGGAGCCCTTCTTGACCTTGCCACATTTTCTGGATTCAGCATGCAGCGAACCAAGCAGCAAGGGATGCAGGTGGCGCAGTGATTTAAACCGCTGTGCTGCTGGGCTGGTTGATTGAAAGGTCGCCTATTTGAATTTGCACAACAGGGTGAGTTCCCATTGCTCCATCCCAGCTCCTGCTAACCTTGCAGTTTGAAAGCAAGCAAATGCAAGTAGGTAAAAAGGTACCACTTTGGTGGGCAGGTAACAGCGTTCCATGCACTTCGGTGTTTAGTCATGCCTGCCACATGACCACGGAGACTGTCTGCGGACAAACGCTGGCTCCCTCGGCTAGGAAATGGAGATGAGCACCACCCCCTAGAGTCAGGCATGACTGGACTTCACGTCAAGGGAAAACCTTTACCTTTACTTTTTAACCAAGCAGCATTCCCATTGCAGCTATCCCACCTATGTCACCACCAGCTCAGGTATGTTACGTGCCAACTAAGATCTATTTGTTCATCCAGACTTTTGATGATGTTGCTGCATTTCTTATAAATATCTGTGCTTCTTGTCTCCTACTCTTCTACCAGTCTGTGTTTTTGTGATTTTATGGTGTTTTATGGTATTTGTATCCCCCCCTGGGGGGGGGGGGATAAATGGGTGATTTTTTTTATAAATAACACACACACACACACACACACACACACACACACAAGCTAGTACTATAGCCAGTGTATGTGTGTGTGTGATTTTGGTGTGTTTTATTAGTTTTTGTACACTTCTCTGGATAAAGCAGAAAATTTTTATAAATAAAATATATAAGCTACTATTGCAGTCATTACTGCAAAAAATCCAACAGTGGCATTCAATAAGAAATACTGTACAGTAAGTCTTTGACATTCCTTGTCTTCTAAGAATTAACTTGTGTCAGTAAAGTCTGTAAAAAAATCAAGGTGCTGTAACTATCTTAGTTTTCTTTTTAGGTTCTTTTTAATCATTGCTAGCAGCCAGAGTCTACAAAACTAAGAAATTTCAGTTTGAACTCTTCTAGTGTGAACTGGACCCTGTGCAGCGGGGGCAGAAGACCAGCCCTGCCAAATTGGCCTAAAAAGTCCACATCTGACACAGCTTGCTGGCAAGCAATACTTGCCCTTGGTAAAGAAACTTCTGAGACCTGATTCTCTGTTCTGCACTTTGTTCCCGTTTTATTGGCAGAAACTCCTCAGCAGGAAGCAGGGGATTAAAAACCATCTTTCAGTGTTGTCGCATGGAAACAGGGCTGGCATTTAGCACCAGCAGGGCTGGGCTTCTGCCAAGGTCCCACTCTACAGAAGGGGGCCTGCTGACAAAAGCCCCCTGGAGCTGCTTCTCTTCATTCTCACAACCTGCTTTCACCATTCTCTGATTCTAGCACAGACCATGGTGGTGTGAAGAGAGGAGGAACAGTCGATGTTGCTACCTGTCTGTTCCTGCCTGGCAAGCAATAGGTGGTAGCAGTTATAAGAAAGCAGAGAACTTGGCAACCACATTGGTGAGACAGGAGACCTCTCAGGGAGGCATGGCCCATTGGGAGTATTTTGCTCAAGGGCCCTCCAGAACCTGGAGCGAATGCCACGTGCAAATCCAGCCTCTTTCTGCAGTGCCGTTGCTTGATTGGTCCAAGAAACCCAGCACTGGCATTCACTCAGTTTTGGTCAAATTGTATTCAAGAGGTATGTGTGATTAGGAGTTAAACAATGAGACCTGCAATGATTGCCTACTGCTCACAGGATGTTTTCTGCTCTGTGCAGTTGCAGAGGTTCAGAATGTCTTAGGACAGTGATGGCAAACCTTTAGAGGTTTTAGTTTAGAAAAAAACAACTCACAGCCAGTACAAGGAAATATATATATATATATATATATATATCCTTGGCAGTGCACTGACCGGCCATGCGAAAGCTTGGATGAGTCGTGGCTAATGAATCACTGCTCATGACGTCATCGCCTGGTGCCACTACTCCTTTCTGAGCATGCGCATGGCCCCTATGTATGCTGTTATCCAATGCTCAGCTGCTGGGGCAATGCTGGGCGACTTGGCTCACATGCCAACAGAGGGCTCTGTTTGCCCGCTGTGGCACGCGTGCTGTAGGTTTGCCACCATTGGCCTAACTCTACCCTGGTGCACTTCCATTTCCCTAATATAGGGGTAAAATACCATGGAAAAGCGGGTGATTTTGAAAAAGCCTTCTTTTTGAGTTTTTTCTGCACAGCTCATCATTTCTGCCCATTCCAAACACATTCCAGCCATCAAAATCATGCCAGGACACCTCATTTTTCTAAGCCTAACCCAATGATGGTGAACCTTTTAGAGACTGAATGCCCAAACTGCAACCCAAAACCAACTTATTTTTCAAAAATTGCCAACACTACAATAGAACCTGAAAACTGAGGTTTTAGTTTAGAAAAAACACCTCACAGCCAGTCCAAGCATCTCTCTCTCTCTCTCTCTCTCTCTCTCTCTCTCTCTCTCTCTCTCTCTCTCTCTCTCTCTCTCCTTGGCAGCACACTGACCAGCCATGCGAAAGCTCAGACAAGTCGCGACTAATGAGTCGCGGCTTGTGACATCATTGCCTGGCGCCACTACTCCTTTCCGAGCATGCGCATGGCCCCTATGTGCGCTGTTATCTGATGCTCGGCTGCTGGGGCGATGCTGGGTGACTTGGCTTGCATGCCGACAGAGAGGGCTCTGCATGCCTGCTGTGGCACACATGCCATAGGTTCGCCACCGCTGTCTTAGGGTATATATTTTATTCATTCAGGGTAAGAGATGAGGATGGTCCAAATACCTCCACATTTCCCCTGGCCTGATAGCATGCCCCAAACATGCTTCTGTGTTCTGTGCAATGCATAGAGGTTCATACAAGTGTTGGGCAGATACCTCCTTGTGAAGGAAAGTTCTCATAATACTGGAAGTTTAATAGGTATAGCCATACCATTGGTTTGGGTGTTCTCTGTGCAGAACAGGGGTGTTTCAATATGGAGCCATCAATCAAAAGGTACTGTGCAGTTATTTTGCCTTCGCCTCCTTAATATTTTTGCCCTTCCCCAGTAAGAAAAAGCTCAGAATTAGTGGTGTGAAAATATGGGAGGGTTACAAATAGATGACATCTAGATTGGTGCAAAATTCAGTGAATGAGGCAGGTTGATTGCACAATAAATGCTTCTTATGGGAAATAACTTTGAATGTTTCTTGCATAGTCTGTATCATTTTACTCATTTTTCTCTGCTATTCTTTTCTCCACACTGTACATGACATTTGTAGAAAAAGGTGCTTCACCCAAGAACCAAAATTGCTTTGGAGAAGTGCCTGGGGACCACCTTCTAGGCAAGCAGCAAGTACAAACGCAAAAGGGGAAGACAGGGCCATAGCCACTAAAAAACCCCAGTATATTTGAGCTTCAAGCACTTACCCCAATAACTAGGCAGTCAGAGGATTTAGGAGAATTGCAGGTCCTTACTTAGAACAGGAAGGAAAAAACCCTGCACAGAAGCAATATGGGAATGGAATGGGAATGTGACCCCTGGAGAAATTCTAAAGTGACAGATGAGAATTCTTGGCCTGAGGTTGAACAGGTGTGTGCAATGCATAGTAAGGAATTCCATACCCTCCACACAGCATTTCTGCAAGATTCCATTGACATCTCTAACTCACAGTTGTCAGCTTTTGAATAATAAGCTGTACCATCAATGGCCACTTGGATTTAGTAGGTGACTGTGATTAATGTTCTGTCCTGGAAATCTTCACCTACTGATTTCTGC